GAGATTCAACCCATATGTTCTGCCTTCGAGATCTCCAGAAGTCTTGGCTGCGTTGTACAAAGTACGCATGGTCCTGCAGACATCGTTCCACGAGGTGGTGATGATTTAGAATAATGTGCTAGGGGCCTGGCGACATGGCAAATTTGGGGTATCACGCATCCCCCCACAATTTCTATTTGGTCGAAGCGTCGAATGTTCTATTCGAAGTCTGGATATACTCAACGCCCCCACCACTGACGAGGGAAGGCAAAGTTCGGTCGATTGATATGCCCTCACCGTGACATCACCGACTCTAAGGTCGAAGTATATAGTAGAACAACAAGATGTGAGATCAAGCGAAATAGAAAAAATAAAAGTCATTTAGATATGCGCAGCCATGAATTTTGATATTCCTACCGTCGCCGAAATCCAGCTCGCTGCCGAGAGGGGGCAGCGCATCACGCAGGATGATGTTTCGGCCATCTCGCAGGCCGAGAGCGCGTTGACTGGACGCGGACCTTCCCGAGGTGGACCAGCTGGTAAGCATAAACTCTATTGTATCTGCAAGCAACGCACGACTGACCGATCATAGCAACGGCCCAAAGTCTTTGTATGCGACAGATGAATTTCGAAAATAAGGTCGCGGAGATATCGCGGAAGCCCTCTAGCGCGATCTCGATAGAAGATGCAGAGGAGATTCAAGCCACAGAGGTCAGGGAATTCCCGTAAAACTCCAGGAGTGTCAAATTAATTACTAACGCAAGGTCCCATAGGGACGTGCATTTAACCAACTACCTGGAGTTGGCTACATCTCTGCCCAGATTCGGTCGATTGCCGACAGTAATGATGCCTTGGGGCTTACAGCCGTCGCTGATGTGCCTGCATATATCACCAAGGATGATGCCCGAGACGCACAACACGCTGAGGCTAGTGTTTATGGCGGTCAGAATCCTCGGGGAGGAATGGCAGCTCAGATGCAGGTAGGTGTAGTTTAAATTTTGTGACTACGGTATCTGACAGGCGCATGCAGAGTGCAGCGGACAAGATCGACAATGCCCGACGAGGTAGTTATGGCAGCTATAACATTTGATACTGTCATGTAAAATAGCGATACCGCACATTCAATAGTTGTGCATATATATCGTACAAACCAATGTGAATACATTGGGTAAACATACTTCACCTTATATTGTACACAATAAAGGAAGATTCCAAAGCTACATTGATTCGACAAAGAATATCTCTGAGGATATCGTCTAATGGGGTTCTTTTGAGGCCTGACCCAGTTTTCGATGTTCATAAGAACTGGGAAAGTACAAAATCGAGCTCACCGCGGAGATATTAAACGAACTCTGTACAGATCCTCGGGAGTTTAGCTTCTTGCCCAGATTGCATAAATTGACAAATATGTACCGGTTTATACCAGGTCACCGGGTCACGAACCTAGCTCGTTACTGCTGTCTAGCGTCTGGGTCGGTAGCGGTTGATCACAACGCAGATCGCAGATCGCAGAACAAGCTGGAGACTCACAATATTCTCCACTTCAACCCACTCACTAGGACATCCAAAACTCACGATAATAGGGCCGCCTTGGAATCAAACTTAAATATGCTCCACTGTAAGCCGTGCTAATTGCTAGCAGACTTATCACCTGATCTCTCCACTTTGATGCGAATGATTTAACTGCTCAATTGTGGCGTCTAAGCGATTCTCGTTCTCGAGACAGCTTGAACACACGTTGTGGCTTTCAGTTATACGAATCGGAGAGTGTCCGAATGCGTACGAGACCGAGCCGGCACCGTCGGATAAGGCGGGTTGTATCTCCACCGTCAAGGTGATTTGCGGAGCTCGATCAGCATTATCGAGTGAGACTTGATATGAGTGGCACGCTAAGTTGAGTCTTTGTGGAGGGGTAAATGGCCCAAAGCCTTGCATGGAGCTCTGGCGGGGCACAATAATTTGTCATTGCCTTGCAGCTTTCGGGCTGACAGGGGCCAATAAACAGAACTAGCTGATTTGAAATCTTGAACGATCTTTGTATTTGGAATTCGAATTGCCCGAACTGGTTGAATCGGTCAAACTTGGTGGATTTTGTGGGAAAAGCTCAATTAAAGCACAGCGTAGCTATGACGTAACTTGGTAGGTACCGGGTACCTGTTTCACCAGCATTAGCAAAAGAAAAAGCAGGTATTTTTGACTTGACATATCAATGATCATGACCAGTTCAACTTTCTTCCAATGTTGGGGGGAATTATCCTTTAAATACCGTCCCACCCATCTCCAGAGGTCCTCAATCTCAAGTACCTTGGAAGAATCAATCCGTCAATTCATACACAATGCCTCTCTCTGGACACTGCCTTTGCAAAGCCGTCACGTACACCGTGGACGTTGACGCTCCTTTGGTCACTGCCTATGATCACTGTGATGACTGCCAACGCCAGAGTGGCTCGACCTATTGTCAGTTGCGTAAATACCCGAGAAGAAACAAAATTGTTGACTTTGTATAGCGCTTGTTGCTGTTGTCCCCAAGGACAAGCTGACTATCAAGGGTCCCACCAAGAGCTGGGCTGGCAAAGGTTCCTCCGGCCACGCTGTCCACCGCATCTTCTGCTCTGAGTGTGGTTCCCCGATCGCTCACGATCCTGATGCCGCTCCCGATATCATTGCCATCAAGGCCGGCACTTTGGATACTGAGATCAAGAAGAATCTGAAGCCCGTAAGTGTCACAAGTTAGGGCTAGATTTAACTTTCACTAGAGTGTGACTGACCCCTCGCTCAATGTAGGACACCGAGATCTGGACGGTCAGCAAGCTTCCTTTCTGCCAGGAATCCCTTGCCCACCCATTCAAGCACATGCCGGAGTAAACACGGGACGTTGTGGCTGATTCTCAAGAAAAGAAAACATTTAATGGGTGCTGATAATGAGTGATAATGATACAACGATATAGTTTCCATAGATCACCAATCGGAATGGTTACTATATATCCTTGTCGCAACCCGACCACTTAGAGTTCAGTGCCAATAGGAATCCTAACCCAATGTATCTTTGTCGGCAGGCTTCATTCATATCGTCTTACGTGTTGCCTTCTCTGACAGGGTCAGCAATCAGCGACATCGACTCGGGCCAGGAAACAGAACAACTATTCGACCGAAGCTTCCTCACGAAACTTCGACACTGAAAGTCATTTTTACTCAGTATTCTGGTTCGAAATGTCAACTGGCACTCTATTTATCCGCGACTCACGCACCAACGTGAACTATGAGATCCCCATTAACCGAAACGCAGTACGGGCGACCGACCTTCAGCGTATCCGGGCGCCTTCCCTGAACAGCAATCGCGCAGACCAAGTTGCCCATGGGTTGCGTGTCTATGATCCCGGATTGCAAAACACGGCCGTGACAGAATCACCCATCAGCTTCTCGTGAGAACCCCACAAAGGCCCTTGAGATGTCTGGCTGATTGGTGTCTAGTGATCATGAGCGCGGCCTACTTCTGTATCGAGGCTATACCCTGGACCAACTCTGGGGGTGTGACTTTGAAGAAATGTTTCACCTGCTCCTATGGGGAGCATATCCTACAGCAAGTCAATGCGAAGAGCTACGCCGGCAGCTGGCACAATATATGCAAGAGGTCCCTGATATTGTGCGCCAGACTGTCGTTAATCTCCCGTATGATGATTTCCTGGTCGTATCTCCGCCATCTTATGTTTCTAACAAGCGTTTAAATACACAGCAAGGAGACTAGCCCACTGCCGCTAGTTCTAGCTGGCCTTTCAGCGTACCTGGCTTGTACACCCGATGTGATCCCAGCAACCACAAATCCGACGATTTACCAAAGAGACATCAAAAGGGCCGACGAAATAATTCTACGAACTGTCGCTGCTTATGCTGTGGTGTTTGGAGCCGTGCAATCCCACCGACTAGGTATTCCCTGGAAGTCTCCGTCGATCCACCAAACCTACTACGAGAATCTATTCACGATGGCTAGTATTGTAGACCAAAAGACAAACCGACCAGATCCCACACGCGTGTCCTGTTTCCGCCGCTTTGGCAACCTGAATGCCGAGCACGGAATGGCCCTAACAATCTTCTCAACAGTAGTTACCGCCTCATCTCTCACCGACCCAGTGTCCTGTCTTATTGCTACCGTAGCTGCCGCCTACGGACCCTTACACTTCGGCGCAACAGAGTCCGCCCAACGCGCTCTCCGTAACATTGGAGAACCAAAGAATGTCCCAGCATTCATCGAAGAGATAAAATCCGGAAAGCAAAAATTATTCGGATACGGCCATCGCACTTATAAGGGAATGGACCCGCGCGTGCGTCCAATCCAAAGTATCCTCAAGGATTTGACCGATGTTCATCAACCGCTATTGAAAGTCGCCGAGGCGATCGAGGAGGCTGCTTCGAAAGATGAGTTTTTTAGTACGCGGGGCTTGTATCCCAATGCGGACTTCTACGGTAACTTCGTATTTACCGGAATGTAAGTGCACTCGTGACATGTACTATGGCTGCAGGTTCCAACACGGTGATTTAGTGGTTTCGAGCCTGATATAATTCCGGCGGCAATGCTTGCTCATCGCATTATTGGTATCATGGCGCATTGGAGAGAGTACATGGGTAAGGAACCAGTTTACTGGAGACTTGATAACTTGGCTAACGGGCTATAGTCAATCGTGGCAAGCTGTTTCGACCTATTCATCTGTATACAGGTCATGCAGAGCCAACTTCGGGCCCCAGGCCTAAGATATAAGAGTTATGTAACGAGAGAGTGATTTGTCATTGGCTGCTTTGTCCTGTGAAGACTAGTGAAATATATCCGTATATCAAATTGATCGAGAAACAAGATCCTTGTCCTCCGTAAAAGTGCACTGGATGCATATATATTTTAAAAGCGATTGGCCCTTCACCGAAACGCTGTGATATTGGGTTCACGGTTGATTCAACGGCAAAAGGACCCGGGTATTTATTCGCCATTACGTGCAGAAGGAACCTGTGAAATATTTCTACCTTGAACCAACATGAACGATCAAGATCTTCATCAAGTGCAGCAGCAGGACGATGGGGTTGATGAAGAAACCCCCTTGCTGCGTGCCCCTCCTGACACCGAGCCATACTCCGTCTTCACACCAACGCAGAAACGCCTCATTATTCTGGCAGCGGCACTGGCTTCGAGCTTTTCGCCTCTATCGGCCAATATCTACTACCCGGCATTGAATTCCATTGCAAAGGACTTGAGAGTTAGTCCATCTCAAATTAATCTGACGATCACGACATACATGGTATGTTATAAGTAACCAGAGTTTACAAATTACGTTCGAATAACTGACATCCCTGGGTTTGAAGATATGCCAGGGCCTCGCTCCAATGTTGACAGGGTCATTGGCAGACCAAGCTGGTCGTCGACCTGCGTATATCCTTTGCTTCGTGATATATTTATTTGGCAACATTGCTCTCGCTCTGCAACACAACTTTCCAGCACTCTTAGCTCTTCGTGCCGTTCAAAGTTGTGGCAGTAGTGGAACCGTGGCCCTTGCATCCGCTGTAGCGGCCGATATTATAACATCCGCCGAGCGGGGTATGTACATGGGCTTTACATCTCTGGGAAATATTCTTGCTCCTTCCATCGGGCCGATTCTTGGGGGCGTATTGAGTAAGTATCTGGGCTGGGAAGCAATATTCTGGTTCCTCGCTATTGCAGCTGGTACTTTCTTCGTCCCGCTGCTGCTATTCTTCCCTGAAACGTGCCGAGGCATTGTCGGAAATGGCTCGAGCCCTGCAGTCGGATGGAATCGAACCATGTGGAGTTGCTTTTGGACCACCTCCGAAGTGACCCCACCTGCATTAAGTGTGCCGAGAAGGCGCATGAATGTCCCTAACCCATACTCAACCCTACGTTTGCTTTTCCACCGACCCGTGGGGCTGGTGCTTTTGGCGAATGGAGTTGTCTTCAGCAGCTATTACGCGGTCACGGCGGGAATTCCTGCGCTTTTCCACAGAATCTATGATCTAGATGACTTGGGTATTGGACTATGCTTTATTCCTGCAGGCTTAGGGTCATTACTCAGTGCAACTGTCAACGGAGTATTAGTTGACTGGAATTACCGGCGGACTCGACGCAATGCCGGTCAGACGGTACACAAGAACCAAAAGCAGGACATCCTTGGATTTCCTATCGAACAAGCGAGATTGCAGATTGGTCTGCCAATGACAGTACGTTGCCCTGAGACATCTTGGAGTTAGTTAGTTGACTTCATTCCTTCTTTTAGATACTTGCAGCTGTCTCGATAGTCCTGTACGGAGTACTCATACCGTTAAAGCCACCACTCATGGTTGCGCTTACTGTGGTCTTCGTAATTTGCTTTTGTATCACGGCGGCATATAACGTGATGAACATTCTGATCGTCGACTTGTACTACGAGACCCCTGCTACCGCGATGGCCGCTAACAACCTCGTGCGGTGTTTCCTGGGAGCTGGTGCTGCGGCCGTGGTTAACCCTCTGATTAGGCGAATTGGTGTGCAATGGACATATTGTTTTGTATCGGGCGCAATTACGCTAGTCACGCCAATTTTAAGCGTTGTTTACCTGAAGGGTTGGGAATGGCGAAAGAAACAAGCCGAAACTGATGCACAACGGCGAACTATACACGAGAGACCATAGTACTATGTGTGGAAAGTGGGTTTATAAATTGAAGCAAAAAGTCGAGTGGAATTGATTTAATTCTTGCATTCCCGATTGACATGTAGTCGGACTCTGCTCTGCTCGGTTGATTATAAAACACACAATATGATCCCACCACTTGCACTCCTCTTTGGTGTTCTAACAGAAATAGTCCAGATACTCCCTTCGACCCCTAGTCAGCAACTGCAAATACGGTATCCCGGGGGCCAATGGATCACTCCTGGCATGGAATTAGATATTAGAGGTATGCAAATGGCGAACGCCTTGAATTAAACACGTTAACATCAGCCCAGAGGCCAGCATGATTCCCGAGATTAGCAGCACGAACCTCGGATGCAACAAGAAATACATCACTCTCTTCATCGACCTCGACGCCATCCTACCAGGAACCCATATCCAATCAGTCATTCTACACTGGTACCAGCCAAACCTCATGGTGGATTGTACAAAGCCGTCACCCCCTTCCACAATCGTTCCAGGAAAGGACCACGGGGACAGACATAATCCGGCAGCCTCGTACATAGCTCCTCGTGCACCACCAAACACGCATCATCGCTACGTCTATCTCCTTTTCGCGCAGCCCCCATCCTATCAATTTCCGAAATGCTTCGCACATGTGTTCCCTGAGACTGTTAGCGCACGTGCCGGATTCGATATCAGGAAGTTTGTTCAGGCAGCAGGGCTAAGCCCTCCCATTGCTATGAACTATTTCATTGGCAGACATGAACCTGCCGAGGGAGAGACCACCACCATGCCTGACAGTGCGACAACGACCTCGTTCCGTTCCGTGGATTGTCACACGAGCACAGCCGGATTGGTGGCATGAGCTAGTGCACGGGGAAATGGAAACTGGGATTGGTTTATTTTAGGAGACTTGGGAATATGATTCACGTTTCGATGGTGCTATTTTTGGAACCCTCCGTTATCTGGAAACATAAAGTAAGATACTGTTGGCAAAGCGGTCTAACCTACTTGTTGCTTGCACCCTGGATGCCCACTGCCTGAATAGTACCGCCTTCCGAATTTGGCTTAGCACCTGCCTCGAGACTTGCTTCTGCCAACCGCTATACTCACCGCCTCCTAATTTGTATACCGCTTTTGTATTTAACTGCACATTATACAAAGTAGAGCAAGACAGCAGCAGGTACCTACAGTTTGTATGTAAACTTCTAACAAAATTAAGTCACTTCTGTCATCTCTTGTATCAACTGCTTCATCAACTGCTCATCCATCAAGGGGCTAAATCCTATAGAAATCAGGTAGTATATACGATTTTCTAATCAAAATGCATGTTTTTTTTACTATGTAAACCAGAAGTAGGCAGAATACATGGCAGAAAAAATAAAGTGTGGCAGGAACATTCTGAGTGGTACTCGATCAGGAAGGCGGTACTGAAATTTAAGGCAGGGGGGTCTGAGCAACAATTCCCCTATGAAATCATATAGCTAGGGCTAATTCACTAGGGTTAATCAAGTCACGCCATATAATTAAATTAGGTAATAGTACAGGATTAAAAACAGCCCCCGAGGTACACTTTTCACTTCCCTATGGTGTTTTCCTCTCTCGCCCCTCCTATTCCCAGTAACGACTATGCTCTCACACCTGTTCCGCAGGCAGGGCTGTCGGTACCCCTGCTGTCCGCGTTGCAAGGTCCCCTTTTGAATATGTAAACAAATTATCTGAAGATAATTCATGTCCCCTATACGGAGTAGTAAAAGGTTCGTTTATAACTTGATTATACCTACCATTACGATTCCTGGTACCACGATGCCTGCCATCAACCTAGCTGCCGCCACCATTGACGGTGGGTGGATGGATTGATGGCAGGCATGGTGGTATCTGGAATGGTAACGGTAGTTATAATGAGGTGAAAAATGAAGCCTTTACTATAGCGAACATGAATTGTCTGCAAATAACTTATATACGAGGGGAGTGAAATGAGATCGCACAACCACATGCCTGGAGAGCAATTGGCAACACTTCGTTTAGTATATCAGAAAATTGGTTGTGGGTGTTTCTAATAAAATGTTCATATCAGAAATAAGAAATGCATTTCGAGGCCGCAATAACGCACCAATTGTTGTGTCTGAATAAGAATCGCATGCAACTGGCTTACCAGGTGAGCATATGCTCCGACTAAGAACACCGTAGAAATAAATGTCGACAGACAGATCGATTGATAGATGCCGCTGATTAACTAGCAGATATTGTACTTCGGCTTCATGCCTGTTGTTCAATGATGGCCTTGAATTTCCATCTGATTTTGTTCGACGCAGCAACTAGAATAGGACGTTGCTCGAGAAAGGAAACAGCTGTTTTGTGTGCAACAACGGGTTTGATTCTGGTGTAAGGAAGCATACGAGCTCCATGAAATGTGAATACCATACGACGGCGTTACTGAAATCAATTAGCATCCAAAAACATCCCCAAGTTCACGGCACCACTTCAATTGTTCGCTGATGGATGGTGAGATAAAGTTGGTGATCCTTGAACAGTCAACACCCCCACAGACTACAAGCGTGGTACTCACACACAGGTCCCAAGGGGGGTGGGACAAGGTTATTTGTCATTGGTAAAGTTCGATCCATGTAACTTCTCGTGCTTTCGGCAATTGCTGTAAACGGAGGTCATCCTGGTGTGGGTAAGCAGCCTTTCGTGATGAATGCGGGAGTGCAATCAAACGTGGACCTGTGTTGCTGACAGCATTGAATATCAACTAGGAAAGAGGTGGGTGAACTCATCATGAGATGAATTATAAATACCCCAAGTTAGCCCAAGACTAGGGAGAATCATACTTGTTAATCGCGGAGTCCGAGCGGACAAGCCTTTCAACATCTGTTTCACGATTTACACATGGCTGAGGCCTCTACCAAGAGGTCTCTCCAGTCTAACGGTCAACTACTTCCCAACCAAAAGATGCGCACAACATGTAACGCCTGCCAGCAAGCGAAGATACGGTGTAGCCACACCTACCCATGTGACCGTTGCGAGAGTCATGGGTATGAGTGTGTCTATTCAATCTCGCAGCCGTTGGGCCGGCCGGCCAAGAGAAAGATGATTCGGCCGGCAGCAGCAGGGGCAGGCATCAAGATGCGTAGAAAGGAGGTGGAGGGAGTTGACCGTCCGACTCGGCGAAGTGCGGGGAGGGCACCGAGGCCAGCCCCAGAAGAGAGGGCGCAGAGGGCGCGCAGGGTCCCGAGTCGGATCCCGAGTCCAACTACATCGTCCGGCTCGGGTCCCAGCTCAAGGGAAGAGTCGTACAAGAGCGACTCTAGCACCGGCACTGAAGTTACACCGCCAGAGGGAGACTTTCAGTGGTCGAGTTTCACAAAGTTGCTCTCGGATGTTCCCGGTGAGCACATACCTAGTCCATGGGATATATAGATGTTGATAGATAACCTTTGAGACGTGCAGGAAACCACAAAATTGGACAAGGGATCCAGGACCAAAAGTTCGTTAACGCAAACGAGGCCAATAACCACGTCGATCCAGGATTTTCGGATACCAGCCTGGAGAGCTCGTTTGAACGAAATGACGGATTCGAAAGTTCTGGGGGTCCCCGTTTTCCTGAGCCGCGTGTTGACTATTCCACACAGTGTTATACTTCCCACATCGGTCTGATGGTCGATGAACCCCCCATTGGAGGGTTCCTCCACACCGCTGCGCCGGGCACCCAGTATGGGTCACTCTTTCGAGGTGGTGCAATTTACCCGTTCAGCCTCGCACCGAACGCAATTCAGGTCTCCGGAACAGTACGGGATCCGGCTAGAATCATGGAATTGCCCTCCAATGAAATCTGTCACGAACCGGCAGATACTGATTCCAGTCAATCTCTCCCATTGAAAGAGATCGACCTTGAGGCACTGCCGGAAGACGCTTCTTCCCTTCACTGCAACTGTTATGCCCAGGCATTCAGTGAAGTCATGCAATCGGAGGAGGTGAATGGGTCGAACAAGATATTGCTCCACCTGGAAAGGGTGCAGCAACAGGGAGTGGTCATTCTTCAATGTCAAGTATGCTTTGCTTCAAACGCCAGGGCTAACATTCTCACCTTATTAGTCATGGCGATTGAGAAAGCGGCACGGGCGTTGAAGGTGAGGGCCAAATTGGCCACCACCTCGGTGCAAGGGGGGGTTTGTTCCGTGTGGGGAGAGGAGGACATTAGCCAGATGCGCCGCTGTCTGTCTCATCTGTCAATTATTGTCCGTTTCATCCACCAAGATCTCCACTGTGCCTCGCCTTCAAAATGGCATCTGGTGATGGCGGACGAGACAGATCGTCGGCTGCAGTCGATTATTCGAATTTTCGAGTGATCGCTGGTTGAAAATGTGTGTATATTAAGACGCGGAATGGAACCTGATAGCTCGTGAGCATTCTCAATTTCAGGTGGTCACATCAGTAGTAGCATTAGATGAGTGGTGATGATTGAGTTGTTTCAAAGAAAGATGTATGGGTGGTTTGTAGAGAAATGGTCGCATGCTGGAAATCGCTGACAAAGTCAAAACCAAAAGAGACTGTTACTCGCATTGTAACGATCAAGGGGGTATATAAATATACACAATGGTTGAGAAATCGCCGAGCTGGTAGATATTATGGACATAAAAGTCTCCGGCGAATTATTGGATTGGCATGACTGCATTTACCAATGAGCAGATCAGAATAGACGACACGAAACTCCCCGGACAGGTTGAGTTGCACTGTTAAAGGTCGGTGTGTCAGCTGGCTCACACAGAAATCTTTGAAGAGTCTTCAGGACTGACCATTTTAGGGGCTTTTTGATTGGAATATCACCAGGAGACCATCGCAAACAGGTATCTGAGATAGATAATATGAAGTGCTTTGGCGTGAGCTATGACACACGGTATTGTGAACTAGCCTAGGGTTCTTGGACTACAACTGGTGACCATTGCACAAATTAGTTGGAAATGCACAATAGAATTGAAATCAATGATGCTCGAAAAATAGTTATTAGGGATTTAGTTCCATAAAGATACTTACGTGAAGAACCCTAGTGAATGTAAGGGAATAAGATACACACTCGCTGCCGAAGTACCTTGAACTCCTTCGTCAAACCCGCTCCTGATGTCCCTTTCACGCTAGTTGTGTTGTAAAAGAAGTGGTATTGATGACGACTTAGTTGGGCCAGGGCTTTTCAAAGGTGCCAATCCACTGTCCCCATCCAATGACCTTGCCCGTCATGGCATGCTTGATATCTTTCTTTGTCACCTTCTCGGGAGCCGTGAACTTGAGAGACTCATTGAGCGCGATAATGGTGAAGATGTAACGATGTTTTCCATGGCCGAGCGGTGCGCCAGCGCCGACATACGGCAATCCAAGCAAGTTTGGCACAAAGCGCCAACCAGCAACAGTCAGGCGGGAGATCTTGGCGTGTTCATCCGGGTGGACATCAGCCGCTTCGGCTTTCGTGGTCGAGGGTGGAATAGCCCAGAGGAGACCGTGGTGAAAGACAAGGAATGGGATTGGTGGATCGAGGTCTTCACAGAGGAGTACATACTCCTTGACTTCCTCGCGACAGCTTGGAGCTGTCCAGCGCAGTTCAGGAAGACCACCCTTGCCATCAGCGGCCTTGCAAGTACAGTGGAGAGGTAGTTTGGAGCCCGAGGGGCCAGCTTCGGGTGCTTCGAGGGTCATGTTGGGCTCGGGGAGGTCTTTGAAGGCCGGGCATTGAATGATTTGGCCTGAATCATGGCCACGGATTGGGTACAGTAGCCGGCCAATGATGAATTCGAGATAATGTAGAATCGCCATGGCACATGGATTTGATAGAACTGCAGATATGAAGTCTTTTTGTGTGAAGATGAAGGAAGGACAAAAGTCTTGATGTTGAGTTTCAGGGAAGAGTAGGGGCAGCCCGATTGGGAAGTTACCCTATACCGGCCCGGAATCGGCAAGTGCGACCCTCGACTTTCCTTTTCTGTGAACTTGTGATTTGCCTCTCTCCCGATCCTTAACTCCGTTGAGACAGTCATATCTTACTCTTTGGAAGCCTTGTGATAATTCAAAGTACCCGAGCGAGGCCAAAGTACGTCCTTAGTCTTAATTACTCGTGTGCAAGTGATACAGGACGACGGCAAAATACAGCGGTTAATGGTTCCAGTTACGACACAACAACGCCCGCATACCCTGTGAACTCCCCGGTCTCCTTCGCGATAATTGGAATCTCATCTTCAGTCAAGGAGGAAAACGTATCCATCTCCAAGGGTATCCAGCCCAATTTCCGAAGTCGATTCGCCCTAATTCGTGCATTTGAGCCGAGTACCATCCCAGAATAATCCCCGAACAAATCGTCCCAGTGTTCCTTCGGGATGGGTTTCGGCGTAGATTTAGTAATGCACCCTTTCTTTCTCAGTGTATGGCCAATCGCAGCGGCGCATTCACCCCAAGACAACTCTTGACCGTTTTCACAAAAGAAGTACGGATTCAGCGCAATCTCAGCAATGGGTGCACTCTCTATCCAATGAAGAAGAATCATATATCCTCTGGCAAGGTCTCTGACATGAATCTGGCTCCAAACTGCGAGGCCTTTCCCGATCTGACCTGCGTAGCCATGTTTTATAGAGTACCGGATGAGCGTCGGCAATTGAATCGACAGGCGGTGTTCCCTACTAGTCATACCGTAGATAAGGGGCGGAATCATGATGGCTATTTTGGCGTAAGAGGCTAGTTCTTGGGCTGCTCCGACGATGACTAGGTTGATTAGGCGATGCGGTGCAGAATCGGGGAGGGCGTGGATTTCGTCGGGTTGCTCATCGTCAAAGACGATATCACTTCTATACTCTCCTTGGGCGGTATCGGAAAGCAAAGTTGCTCCACTGTTGTGGATGTATATTGTTTGCAGCCCTTGCGCCGCTCGTTGTCTGATGCCATCGATTATTGCTTGGACGGACGGCAGGTGATCTGCAGTCGCGATGTAGAAGACAATGTCATTAACTGCGACCTGGTCCTTGATCACTGATGTGTCGTCCAGATTGCCCACGACGGTTTTGACGCCCAAGTTGGCGTAATCTGCCACGGCTGATTCGTGACGGACAAGTGTTGTTACATTGTAGTTCGATATGAGAAGAAAGTCTATGATTTCTCCGCCGACAAAACCGGGACCAAGAAGGAACACAGAAGCAGGCATGCTGACGGGTGGCTGGTTGAAGTAATAGTGAAATGCGTTGTGCGCTACTCCATAGCGTGGGTAAATATAGGTTGTATATGTGACTGCATGTTGACGTCGCCGAAATTGGTAATATTTCGCCTCAGCCCTACCTAGGGAGGATATCGATTTCAGATTGGAGAGACATCGGCAATATATCATGAAAGGACAGGCTCAAAGGCCTCCTGAGATATATATATTCGACTCGGGGTTCGGATGGTCTCAGCGGTATTCAGCCCGTTCTGTGGGCAGGTTATCTTGTTATTCCGAGGATCCTGCGCTATAGAGTGTTCCATCGATTTCTGGCTCTCGTCAGTATGTTTATGGGCAGTGTACGGAGTATATAACTACTGTACTATGCTACTTTGATATAGAAAATAAAGACATTCCCAAAGAGGCACATATCCTGCCGATCTGATGACATCATCAAAAATGTTGCTTGCTGGGGCTCTTCCGCCCGCATCCGCGCGTACCTGGGCTCGTAAATTTGTGGATTCCTGGGGGAGAATTTACACAACCTTCTCCATGCTATCCTATATATCTGCTGCCTTTCGGCCCCCGTCGCCGGAGGAAGGCGTACAGCAGCGACCACCACGGTATGCCGGTGAAGATACCACCCCAACGAGCCGCCGGGAGATCCTAGGATGGTACTCGTACGGGATTGCGGCGGAGGTGTTCGCGGTCTGTGGCGTAGGTTCGTGAAGACATATCTGCAAACCTAAAATAATCAATTACTTATCGATCGCCACCAGGATCTTTCCTACCGCTCACCTTGGAACAATTAGCCCGCGAGCGCGGCACCCTGCAAGTGAGCCGTCTTCCATGTGTCGGACCATCCACAGGGAATAGCACAAATAGTGCTGAAAATGGCCAATGTGTGGTGCCGATATTTGGCGCCGAGGTCAACACAGCCAGCTTCGCCATGTACACCTTCTCGCTGGCAGTACTTATACAGGCGCTGACACTGATATCGTTCAGCGCGCTGGCGGATTACGGTATGGTTGAAGAACGCCGGACTGAGAATGTGTGGTGTGAGAGAGGGACATGAGTTAACGTCAACGTTGTCCATTTGGATGTATAGAGAACAACCGCAAGATATTGCTTATGGTATTCGGATTCGCCGGTGCGCTCGCCAGCATGTTGTTCATATTCATTGCGCCGCCTATCTTCATTGTCGGATCGATATTGGTCGTCATCGGTGTGACCTGCCTCGGTTCATCCTTTGTTGTGCTGAACTCTTATCTCCCCGTGCTTGTCGCCAACGACCCATCTCTGCAAGAGGGAAAGGCGGATGACAGCGCGGAAATGTCGAGCTTCGATCGAGACGGAGGTAACTCGGAATGGAACGCCTGGGGCAGCGATGATGCCGACAACGATAGTTTAGACGGACTTCAGCCACAAGAGCAGCCACGGAACTCACTAGAAGGTGGAACTGGGGCCAAGGCCTCGCCGTCGTCCTCCCCGGAGCTGCAGCTGTCCACCAAAATCTCCTCCACAGGCATCGGTCTTGGATATTGTGCGGCGGTCTTTGTGCAAATCATCAGTATCATCATGCTGATCACATTATCCAAGACCTCCCTTGTCAAAGTGTCTGGCACTCTTCCCATGCGCTTCGTATTGCTCCTGGTCGGCATCTGGTGGGGCGGGTTCACCTTGGTCACTCGTAATTTGCTCAAGACACGACCGGGGCCTCCCTTGGATTCAGTCGCCACCAAAGGCACATCAAGATGGCGAGCCTGGTTACGACTGATCGGTTTTGCCTGGAAATCACTATGGGAGACCGTCAAAATAGTCATCAAACTGCGCGAAGTCCTCATGTTCCTCGTGGCATGGTTCCTGATCTCCGATGCAATGGCCACTGTCTCCGCGACGGCGATCCTCTTCGCGCGCACGGAACTCAAACTGAGCACACCGCTGATCGGACTTCTCTCCATCACTGCCACGGTGTCCGGCATGACGGGCGCATTCCTATGGCCACATGTGTCTCGGTACTTCGGCCTACGGTCAAATCAAACTATCATCCTGTGCATCGGCATGTTTGAGATGATTCCACTCTATGGGTTGCTTGCTTACATCCCCTTCATAAAAAAATGGGGTGTGTTCGGGTTACAACAGCCGTGGGAGATATTCCCGCTGGCCATCGTCCACGGCGTCGTGTCGGGAGGACTGGCATCATACTGCCGATCGTTCTTCGGACTCATGATTCCTCCTGGTAGCGAGGCTGCGTTCTACGCTCTTTACGCTGCTACTGACAAGGGCAGCTCATTCATTGGACCGGCTATTGTGGGCGTTCTTGTTGATGCGACCGGCCAAATCCGAAGTGGATTTTTCTTCATGGCGCTTCTGATCCTTCTGCCTATCCCTCTCGTGTGGATGGTTAACGCGGACAAGGGTCGGCGTGAAGGTTTGGCTATGGCTGAAACCCTGGGCAAGTCACATGGTGGGCCCGCCGAGTACGCCCAGGAAGCCGAAGGGCTTCTTGCTCGTGAGTAGACTAGACTGTATACTAGAACATATCGTGAGATATTTATGACATAGATTATGAATATATATGAAGTTGGGAATGGACGGGAGACTTGAAATGATGATTACTAACCCTTCAACAAAAACTCGATTTGGCGAGCAATGCAACGGTATTTTGAAAATTCTAGCGAGTGTCTCAATTCCAGGGTCCAAAATAGATCAAAGACACGGCAGGGTCTTTTTAAGTCAAGCCTTTTGGTGGCAGTGGGGATACACTATGTGGAGAAGGGAGTTTGATATCCAATGAAACATCTCAATTGGAAAAAGAAGAAGCCCTAGAAGATCAGCTAGCCACCAATCGTGAAACGCGAGATCGTCTAGTTTGGCCGCTAAGTGGGCTGATATCAATAACACCGGTCCTTGGTTAGTTGCAGCCTAGAAATAGAGAACCGCGGTGTCTGGATTGAACTCAGAGCTGTTACACCTAGAAGAAAGATTGAAAATGAATGTAACATGGCGCCGTGAAGGCAGAAATATAAAGATTCACATGTTCTCTGTACGAAAATATGGCAAACACTCAGCGTTCTTTTGTACTCTCCTTCACCACAATCATCATGATCACTAGTGCTGTATTCGCGTCTCTATTTCTACTCGCTAGTGCACATTCAGGGAAGCGAGGGCCATTCATTGAGTCTGTCACAGACTGCTCCGAGCTACCGTTGTACAACAATGAGACAAAGATAGCCGGGCCTTGGACACTCAAGGTCGACAGCTGCTACAATGGAACTGCGACCCGAGGGTTATGCAGCATCGAAGGCTTTGAGACAGGCAGCGACATCACACGGCAACGAGAAGACAGACCCAACACGATCGAGCACGGATTTGTAAGTTGTTACCCTAGAATGGACTTAGTATACATGAACACATAACCAATACAGGGAACAAATAACTAACAAGTATTTAGATCACGATCGTAAGCGACAACAACAACCTCAAAACCCAGCTCCGCTGCAACGGCGTCCTGAATACAATCGAAGCATATGTCCTTTCCGGCCCCGGTGCTGGCGCCCTAGATTGGCACGCCGTCGGGATAGACCACCACCCCAGTACAGGACGACTCGTCTGGGGCAAACCAAACGCCGAGCTTGTACAAGCGTACAGACACTACCGTCGCGGGATACCAGTCGAAGGCCTCTTCCTCGGATCGAACAATCAGACGAATTGGAGTGTCCACTCAGCTGGGAAGGATGTGAGCATCACGGATATGAAGCGGTATTGGGTTATGCGATTGATGATTCCGGAGACGAGGATTCGGGACAATGAGTTTAGGACGTTGATTCGGATTGATGGGAGTTGAGTTGAGTATTCTTTTGACTTATTGCATCGGTGTTGCTGTTGGGTTTCCTGTGATTTCCTGTTATTATACCCCCGTAGATGCATACTAGTGGTTTCGCTAAGTCGCGCTGAAATCTTTGACACAGTGCCAAGAGGTTGGAGTTTGAGGACGAGTCAGGAGGGCTAGTTATCGTGGTAAAGGCCAAAAGAGTCGACCCAGAGATCGTTTCTTCCAGGCAGCTGTCGATCTGTCGTAGAGAATGATTGAGTCGGCGAGATCAAGGTTCCACCATCTTTGTCCGCTTCTGAGCCTGAGGTTCTGATGTGTGATGGTGGCGGTAAGGAAAATCATGTCGTGTGCGACATAGATCAGTGAAATGCCGTGTATTTCGAACACGAGAACATACCTTGGCATCTAGAGGGTTGAGGGAATGCGGTTACCCATCGTACCTTCCCTACACATCACACCTGTGATCACCTGCCTTAGTTATCCTCAACTAAACCTATTTGTTCACTTTCATCATTCATTGTGCGTCAATTGCGCTCCATACAGCTATTGAATCCAGCCTGTTTACACACCTTGTCAGAAAATCTGCCATAGGACTACACATCTACACCGGTATTACCCGTGGAAGCCCACTTGGTTTGGATCACCAAACTGGTCTGATTGGTTAGAGGAGTTAGCCATACTCATGAGTCGCCTACTCGAGAAGATTGAAGATGGAAGATTACACATAAAATGTCATAAGGAAATACAGGCGCGAAGGATGATTGAAAGTTTCAAGTTAATCCAACCTAGAACAAGAATAACTACCCCAACAACCAGAATCGAAGAGGATACCCCGTTCCAACAGGGAGCTCGCCAACATTCACGGCCCGAAACACCGTTCAGGGTTCGTTATATTATTGTTCCAATGGGAAAATAGGCTTGATTAAGGGTCGGATTTATTACGGCATTTCTCCCTAAAATGTATGTGCGGCCGTTTTCCCCGTTACAGGAAGGGAATAGCTTCATTTTTTACATTCCGAGGGAGTTAGCGCTAAATAGCCTCCAATCAGATCGCCTTCCCCAAACCTCGGTTCCCCAGGAAAGATCACTGGCGGCTGAATTGAATCCCAGAATTTGCCCCTGTCGATATTCTTCCTGCCGATAGGTGTAAATTTCACCCTCATGTGCGACAATCCAGAGTTGGTCTAGACGCAGTGACAAGAATATTGCACGACTCAGAGATGTCTCTCCGTACTCTATCCAGCACAACAATTAGCCTGAATACCAGGTGGGCTGACCGAAGTCTGGTGATCCGGCGCTGAATTGCCCTTTCTTTCTCCACAACTCCAGATACACGCTAATGCAAACGTGGATCATCCTGGGAGCTGGTATGTCACGAATTGTATATAGATGACAGTCCCCCCTGGTATGAGACTTGATGGGATCCTGTGAGACAGCACAGCTGGTTAACATCAACCGTTATCTGTGTCCAATTGCCAATCATGGCGTCTGCTGTTGATACTGTACTTGCGGTTGAAAAGACCGCCGCCAATCATGTAGAAGATACCCTGGGCCATGGTGCCATCACCGAGGCCAAGCAAGCTACCGACGATGAGCACACGCAGACTCTGATGCAGGCCTTGCGCGAGAACCGCAAGGCTGTGATGTGGTCTGTCTTGATATCCATGTCTATTATCATGGAGGGATACGACACCATCCTGATGGGCAACTTCTTCGCCTACCCCACGTTCAATCAAAAGTATGGACAAGATTATGGCGGTACTATCGGATGGCAGGTATCCGCGCCTTGGCAGACGGGCCTTAACATGGCCAGTACGGTTGGTTGTATCTTCGGTGAGTTCCCCTGTCGCTTGCCATCCTAGGACAAATACTGACATGATCACAGGTGGTATCTTGAACGGATACTGTGCGTCCAAGTACGGTTACCGAATTGTAATGTTCGTCGCACTCGCATTCCTCAATGCCTTGATCTTCATCACGTTCTTCGCCAACTCTGCGGCAGTCCTCTTGACCGGCCAGGTCCTTTGCGGACTCTCATGGGGAGTGTTCGCCACCATTGGCCCGGCCTACGCATCTGAAGTATGCCCCACCGTTCTGCGCGGCTACCTTACTATCTACGTCAACTTGTGCTGGGCCATCGGCCAGCTCATCGCATCCGGAGTCCTCTACGGACTCGTCGAACGAAAGGACCAATGGGGCTACCGCATCCCCTTCGGCCTACAGTGGATTTGGCCGCTTCCTTTGATGGTGATTTGTTGGCTCGCACCCGAGAGTCCCTGGTGGCTCGTCCGGCACGATCGCCTAGAAGACGCAAAGCGCAACATCCGCCGACTGGGCGGCAGCAAGACCGAAGAGCAGATCAACGGACAACTCGCGATGATGGTGCACACGATCAAGCTCGAATCCGAGATTGTAGCCGGCACCACCTACTACGACTGCTTCAAGGGAGTTGATCTGCGCCGCACTGAGATCTGCTGCATGGCCTTCGTCGGCCAGATTCTGTCCGGTAGTACATTCGCCTACTCACCTACCTATTTCTTCACCCAAGCCGGCCTGCCAGTAACTCGCTCCTTCCAGCTCGGCGTCGGGTGCACGGCCATTGCCTTCGTTGGAACCTGTTTTTCCTGGTGGCTGATCACCGGCTTCGGCCGCCGCACGCTGTACGTCTGGGGCCAGGGAATTCTCTGTGCAACACTCTTCCTGATCGGTATCCTGGACGTGGCATCATCCGCGAACGGCATTATGTGGGCGCAAGCCGGACTCTGCTTCTTCTGGCTCTTAACCTATTCCCTGACTGTCGGCCCGATCGCATACGCCATTGTATCAGAGACATCATCTGTGCGTCTGCGCCCGTTGACAGTCTGCCTCGCGCGCACAGCATACCAGATCATCAACGTGGTGTCACAGGTGCTAGAGCCATACTTCATGAACCCGACCGCCTGGAACGCTTCTGGCAAGACCGGGTTCTTCTGGGGTGCCACGGCACTCGTTGCATTTGTCTGGGCATTCTTCCGTCTTCCTGAGGCTAAAGGCCGCACTTATGCGGAACTGGATATTCTGTTTGCTACCAAGGTCAAGGCAAACAAGTTCGCCTCCGTTGTTGTCGATCCCTATGCGGTTCGGCCTTCCGAGTCGCAGGAGGGTCTTGTGCATGAGAAGACATAGGAGCCGAAGGAGTGAGATTAATAGTTAAACAACGGGAGTAAAACCCAGGCGATTATGTATGATGCGAGTCGACTTAGCATGTTCAGTAAATAGTGAATTTAATAAGTAGTGGACTTCTTAAGGTTATATACATAGTACAACAATAGTCCAGCCTTATCATGGTCACCCGGGTAAGGAACTCGCTGTCAACGATCGATGTATATGTCAACCCTCTCGGACTGGACTGGCAGGGATTCCTTTGCCTTGACCTTCCGTGCGGGGAAATATTTCCTACACAAGGGCCTGGAAGTGGCCGGGGGATTACTTTTGTTTCTTAGTGAATGGCTCGCAGTTCTAATTCGCTGCACCTTGTCGTCTCCGTCATGACTTGATGGCCTTTGACGGCTTTGTCGACAGCCTTTCTTTTATACTTTCATACTATCCTATTACTCTATTACTCCCGTGGATTGCCAGAGTACCGTTGTACTTCGGAATCTTCAATTTGACAATGCTACTCCGCCTTGGCATCTCATGGCTTCGATATGCTCTGACGAGCGAGAATATCGAAAGACCCTTCTAGAATTATTTGGAATTGGTTCGTAAAACTCCGGTGTCATTGCCAATCTCAAAAAACCCAATGATATCAAGCAAGTTGATACTTCGGGCTGCTCCCGGCTTACCAGATCGGCTCATGATGTCACTGCCCCGCCAAATTTCTCCACCAACATTGTCATAATCGAAGCCCTTCGATGATATTATTGGATATGCCAAGTTGGAAAAAGTAAGCCACAATCTGATGAAGCCGGGCACAGGAGGTACCTGCTCGGCTGCCCAGGTAGGGCTCTCTCATGTCAGAGCGAGAGCCATGAAGTCATTAGAGGGATGTAGACATATATAAGCCCAGCTTATATCCGTAGAAAGGAAGTGAAACCAACTAAAAAGCTCTTCTCATTTATATCCTCCAAAACCTAAACCTTCTATCAGAGCATATATCTCTCAACCTCCAAACCGAAACCCTATACCTACCAACATGCCTATCCCTGTCCCCAAAGCCAACCACATCCTTGACCTCCTTAGCCTCAAGGGCAAGGTCGTCGTTGTAACGGGAGCCTCCGGAGCTCGAGGCATGGGCATTGAAGCCGCCCGCGGCTGCGCCGAGCTGGGTGCCGACCTCGCTATCACATACTCCTCCCGCCGAGAGGGCGGCGAGAAGAACGCCCAGCAACTCGCAGCAGATTACGGCGTCAAGGTTAAGCTGTACCAGTGCGACGTGGGCAACTGGGAGAGCGTGGAAGGCCTTGTGAAAGAGGTGATCAAAGATTTCGGCAAGATCGACTCCTTCATTGCGAACGCCGGGCGTACAGCCGACAGCGGCATCCTGGACGGATCAGTGGAGGACTGGAACAAGGTCATCAACACCGATTTGAACGGCGCCTTCCACTGCGCTAAGGCTGTGGGCGCACACTTCAAGGAGCGCGGAACTGGCAGCTTGATCCTTACTGCCTCCATGTCGGGCCACATTGTCAACTACCCCCAGGAACAGACCTCATATAACGTTGCCAAGGCCGCCGAGATTCACCTTGCCCGGTCGCTGGCCAATGAATGGCGCGACTTTGCCCGCGTCAACAGCATCTCGCCTGGTTACATTGACACCGGATTGTCTGATTTCGTCCCCCAGGATATTCAGAACCTTTGGCTCTCTATGATCCCCATGGGTCGCAATGGTGATGCGAAGGAGCTGAAGGCTGCTTATGCTTACTTGGCTAGCGATGCCAGCAGCTACATGACGGGCAACGATCTGCGCATTGACGGTGGATACACTGTGCGGTAAATACCTTTTTTGTACTTTTAAACGAATTCAAACGACGATAGTTCATGAGATCAATTCCAGAGTTATTTATGTCAAAAGCGGTGTCCTGTCCGACGTATGACCTCATAAATCCAAAGCTGTTTGACAGGTTTGGCATGTTTGCAAGCAGTTTGTCTTGATTGCAATACGATCAAACACCGTTGAAGTCACGTCTCACGCAGGTCCTGCAATACTAGACGTGATCGGAGCCTCCTCGACAAAGATGCCAGACCAAAACCAATCCTCCACAGCTGCATCCAAGCCCCCATTATCGAGCCTCAATTCGCCGACGTGCCAATCCGCGGAATTCGTTGAAGTCGACGCGCTGACCGCCGACACAACCTGCGTGAGGTCATCGGACCCATCTGACGCCCACAGCCCCACAGTCTTCGCGTCAAAATCGATATCGTACGCGAAGTTGTACCACTGCCCTGCTTTCAGGTCGGTTTCCCAGTGCGACACCCCACCGACGTACCAACGAAGCGCGTTGTCTTCGCCTGAAGCGCCGCTCAGGGTGCCGTATTTGAGCTCAGTGAAATGACTCTTCAGAAAATCGTCAGCTGTTGGTTTCTTCTATACCGTGGAACTGGGAGTGATACCTCGAAGAACGCGATCTGATGCTCGAAGCTCGCATTTGGTGCATTCGTGTCCTCTGTCTTCAGCGAGAAATGGTAGAACACATGCCCGCTCCCAAGATCCGCCTTTGTCTGGGGGATGATCTCGGATCGTTCCATGGTTTGTCCATTCCAGAACGACGTGCCATCCTGACTGCTATCAGCTTCTCGTCCTTCAGACTAGATAAATAACCTACGATTGTGATCCGGATGCCCTGTTCATCACTGGTATCGGCCGGGTTCTTGTGATCAGGCGAGAGACCCAGATACTGGTCCGTGGATGCCGTCCCGTGAATATACCACTGCCAAGCGCCAACTTGATTAGACCATGACCCTTTGTGTGTCAGTGCCAATCGACAGCAACTCGCGAAACTCACTCACATTCGTCGAAGTCGGTAACCGTCGCCGACGCGTTAAATAACCCGCTCCACAGGACTTCGCCCGCTTCGGCCATTGCAGGGAGGGAGACGAGCCATGCAAGAAAACGCATTTTTGTCGGATTGTCGTGATTTTGCGTTACACTTGGCGGATTTGAGGTACGATCGCGACCGTATTGTTTCCACGCAAGCATGATTCCCTTCCAAACGCTGTTATATACCCGCATCCCCAGACAAGACCCGCCGGATATAACACGGAGACCACGGAGATCATGAAACCGGGCTTGTTTGAATCACCAATGCAGATCTAGTGAGATTCCTTTGGATGTCACTTTAGCCACTTTCAAACGCCCTATAACCTGGTAATTTCTCTTCCTTTTCTTCACATTATTCATATCCCATATTGGCGCAATTGATATCTTGCATGTGATCGACACGGCGTCTCTCCAAATAAGTCACGGAAATAAGGATTCTTGTGTTTACATGACGAAACTCTGCAGCATAGCCTGAAACGGCGCCAAGTATGAGCGAAACACCCCGGTCGCATCATCGGATCGATATGTCAATCTACCGATTGTTTCACTATAAATGAAATACAAAAAGAATCAACCAAAATAATGCATCGTTTAATAAGTCTATAATGACCGGTCGCAAGGGACACGGTCGGGAATTCTATTTACATATCCCGCTAAACAAGCAGCACCCTCATTTCATATATTCGTGAATAGTTTACACTTTGGGCTTCTCGCCCGTGGCCTCATCGCCGCTTCCAACATCCTTGGCATCGAGATCCAACCCATGAGAATCGGCAACGTGCATTCGGGGAAGCGAACGAGCAATGCGAGGCGGATCGAATATACTACGCGACTGCAAGAAGATCTCATCGATTTCCTCGAGGCTGCGGCCGCTAGTCTCCGGGAAGAAGAAATAGACAGTCGGCACGATGGCGGCGTTCAGCACAGCGAAGATAATATAGTACTGGTAGTCGATGGTAGCGAAGCCGACGGGCGTGACCTCAGCTAGGAGGAAGTTGAAAGTCCAGACGGCGGCCGCGGAGACGGCGCTGATAGATGCTCGGCACTGGAGGGGAGCGACCTCTGTGGCGTACAGGAAGGTCAAGCCGGAGTATCCGACTGTGAAGATGAATTCGAAGACGAAAAGGAACACCACGGCGCAGACCAAGCTGCCGGTGTTGTCTTGGACGGAAGTGGTGCCAGCCAGGATGGCCATCGAGATTGACATCCCGACAGCACTCCACAGCATCAGCACGCGGCGACCGAGACGGTCGATGGTGAAATAGGCCAGCAGGCCGCCCAGCGGCTGTGTTAGGCACATGGATGCAGCCAGGACACGTGACTGGATGGGAGAGAGCTTGAGATATTGTTCGAATATGGTCGTGGCGTAGAAAGTGATCAGATTGATTCCGCACATCTGCTGGAACATTTGACCCATACAGGCGAGAACGGTGCGATGGAAGAGTCGCTGCTCCCCCATCTTCAGCATATCCTTCCACGAACCCGTTCCGGAAATGGCTAAGGAAGTCTCAATATCGCGAATATCGAGAGTGATCTGTTCCGAATGAGGGTCGACGTCGTCCAGCGCCGCCAGAATCTCGCGCGCCTCCTCGCTGCGACCTCTTTTGATCAGCCATCGGGGCGATTCGGGGAAGAGCATCACAAAGCTCATGACCATTAGTGATAGCAGGACCTGGAAGACCAAGGGGAATCGCCAGGAAACCGAGTTGGTCTTAACGAAGTAGAAGCCGAAGTCGACCCAGAGAGAGAAGGCGATACCGGCACCGATGAAAATACCGTCGGTTACTACGTGAGCACCACGCTTGTTGGGCTTTGAGATCTCAGACTGCCAGACGGGTACTGTAGCCACGTAACCGCCAGTTCCATATCCAAGGACGAGTCGTGCAACGATAAATTGTGCAAGTGAAAAAGACGTTGCCATCAAGACAGCGCCAATTATCGAAATGAAGGAGGTGAACAGGATGACCTTCCGGCGGCCGAGCCTGTCACCGAATTGAATGCATGATAATGAACCAAAAATTCCACCGACGGTATATAGTGCGACTACCGTGCCTGCAAGTATACAGCATGAGAAACGGGCCAAGTGGTGTGCCGAGGGCCTGGGACTGATCTGCGCCCCGGGTATAGTGATGAAGCTTACCTTGAATAGTCGAGTTATACTTCTCTTGTGCGGCGGTTGCAGTGAGAGTGTTCATCTGCGGAAAGGTCTCGGCAAAGGATTCCAGGGTCAATAGACCTCCCATCACACCTTGGTTGTATCCATAAGTCACAAAGGCCGGACACACGACCAACCACATGATAGCCCTATTCAGCGAAGGGCCACGGAGGCCAAAATATGGCGCCATGGTGCAATATTGGTATTGGATAGAGACGAATTGAAGATCTAGGGTTTGGAGGTCAAGCCACACCGATTTCCCCGCCAAATCGATACGAGGTTGGATATAAAGATCATATATACACTCATCTGAGTACTGGGCGGCGAACGCCGCCCACCGGACGATCGTGATATTGGTGGAACCGAGCAGTACGTGGGGCGGCGCAGACCGGATCGATGAAGCGCAGCTCCCCATTGGCGAGAGTGTGGAACCGAAGACCAAGTCTTCGAGAAGAGTGGAGTAGAAATGCTCGAGAGCCATGAAGCGGGAGGATAATATTAGCTAAAAGTCCTGGTTTCCCCAGGTTCCCCCTCACGGGATATGGTGATGGACGATTCAAGCTGCATGGGTTGCGCCATTGAGCTTAGCTGAAACTCTGCGGCGCTGGCGAAAAGCTGGGGTAAGGTTTCCACTACCGGATTGGCTCGACCGTGTAGCATCAAGGTCGCTCCTTCGTATGCGAACAGTTTTCTCCACATCGGACATTGCCGATGGAGATTTAAGCGACTATTTATGCCTCGGGCCGCGATAACACGAAGTGCTTGTCATACATATTTGTCGTTTTTGTTGCAACTTCTAGCCGAGACGGATGTTCGGAGTTACGGCTCGATAACTTTGGTCATACAAATTGCATAATAACGACAAAGGGACTGATAACTCCTCCGGTCTAGAGCTGCGAATACTAAGATGTTGCGAATGTTCACTTGATAATATTATGTCAGTCTATATCAACATCTATATTGACCAGTCACAGATATCACGATATAAGACCTCTATCCGATGAAACTCCGCTCGATCGGCCCTGCATATCTCACAGCTCTACCCTCATTCTTCCTTCGTGGTAAACCTACTCCATGAGCGTATTTTCGGCCCATATATGAAAAACACAATGGGCACAGGGAACAACGCGACGGTCAGACAACCTAGCAAAGTCATCGCCCAGTCGACGCCCAAGTAATGAAACTACATGTTGCATTGGGGTTAGCCGAATTGCGCCGCTAATAGAGGGACATGACATACCAATGGTGGTGCGAACATCGGAAATCCAGCCCCCAGCCATGAACGAAAGAAGGAGTTTGCTGCCATTGCAGAGTTTGTATACAGCGGATACACATCGACGATATAGTTCAGCCCCTGGCGATTATCGTAAGTATTTGTAAAATGTCCTTCATCTTCCAATAGGGATAATAATACCTGCAGGAAGATCAATATTACCCCCGACCCCAAGAAGGCCCCAGATATAACCTGTGGAACCCAAATTATGTGAGGATCTGACGTCCAGCCAAACCAAAACATCCCCACGGGCAACAAAATACCTCCAATAATCATAGGAATCAACCGCTCCTCTGGCTGAACTCGGCCATTGCGAAGTATGAACGTTCTATAACGCGTCAATGAGAACGCAATGATAATCAAACAACCGCAAAAGACACCACAAATGAAAGCAACGAACGGCAACGCTCCAACGCCATCATTCCACCCACGCTGTTCTTGGAAGGAGACCGGGTAGGCCACGAAACATGTATACAGAAAGCCATATATGAAACCCATGTACAAGGTAATAAGCAGAAGAATGGGTTCCTGCACAAGCATCTGGAACGGGCGCAGGAGATATCGTACTGCAATATCTTGATAACTGACTACCTTTTCTTCTGCCGTCGCATGAAGAGCCCAGTTCTTGGTTTTGGTGCGAAGTCGCTTAGCACGCTGTGTGAGTAACGTTTGCTCGAACGTCTCAGGGACTACCAGGATCCCGATACCGGAGATGGCAAATGCCCAGATAGCTGTAATGTACTCTGTCCAACGCCAGCCCAGGTACGACATTGTTATGAATCCGCCGACGATTGGCCCAGCTACCGGGCCGATGAAGGCTGCCGCAGCGAAGACGGCCATTGCAATCCCTCGCTCCACGGGCTCGAACATATCGGCCAATATACCATTTACCTAAGGAGGAAGAAGTACAATCAGAGAGAGTTAATGCATAGGTTGGAAACATGAAAATAAACTCACAATGGCAAGAGGTGCACTGGCAAAAGTTCCGCCCAGAAAGCGACATATGAAGATAGTTTGCAAGTTCTCGGCTACAGATACGGGGATCTGGAATATTGCGAAGCCGAACATGCCCAGAAACAACGGTAGCTTCCGGCCGTACAGTTCAGAAAGCGGGCCAAAGATGATAGGGCCAAAGGCGAAGCCCAGAACGAACAAACTGACAGCCAACAATGTGACTTCCATGGAAACGCCGAACTTTGTCGCTGTCTGTCTCGTTGCTGTGGTGAAGACTGAAGAGCCGAAAGTAACGCAGAGTGTCATCATTCCTAGCACCATCGTGATAGCCCACTTCCACCATGCGGGGAAGTTCTTGGGCTTCTCCTATAATCGTATTAGAGGAACCTTGCATACGGAGGGGAATCGGACGACATGCTGGATCATTCGGGCCGTTCCAATCCACTATCATGTTGTCTTTCTCACTTGGAGATCTCTCGGGCTTGATTTTTGAAGAGCCCCCGTTGCTTTCCAACCGATCGGCCACGTCGTATGTGTCACCATCGTCGAACACGGTCTGCAAGCTAGTTGAATCATGCTCTGATTGATTGCTGTGCGAGGACAGTAAAGTTTGGGTTTCTTTGCTGGGCATCACAAACAATCTGACTCGCGTATTCAACGGAGAATGATAATTGAGGGCAGTGGTTCGTTGCTGATATTAGCAACAAGGGTGAGCACTGGGTAGAAGCTCACTATGAGCCCGTTCATATATGCAAGCACACCTGTTCTGTAGAAATCGATCATTCGAAGCATCTGGGTTTCTTTTCTTACATTCTAAAACAACAGATGATTTTTGATCTTGCAAAACGTCATGGCACCCATCCATCCATCGACGCTAGGCTGAGTCATGCATGATGTAGGTAGGTAACGACATCGTTACGTATTTTCAAATGGAAGTTCAACAAGCTGAGTACATATTCAGGCGGTTCAAGGTTGCGGTAGTCCTTCTTACTCGGAAAATGGATGTGTGGGGGTGAATATATAGCATTCGGCACTCGAGCAACACCTGGTTAAAATGTAAATAACATGCAGGACGAGTACAACACTGATGTTGATATTAATGATTTAATTTCACTAGAAGAAAGCCGAATTATACCCGTAAAATAATTGCATACACATTCATGAACATCGGGACATCAGGGTTCATCCACTTCTGGCAGTACATGAAAAGCTGGCACCACTGGAATCATCGTGCATTGCCTTACCGGAAACCCAAAGGCCCATGCCACACTTCATGAATATTAGCAGTCTGAAAAATGTCTAAGCATTGTGAAATTTGACATACCAAGCAAGCACCAATCCCGATAACCACCAGGTTGACAACAGTTAGAACCATCTTTTTCCAGGACGCCCCATACTGGCCTCGATTCAGGAACAGCCAGAATATACCACTCAGGCCATCTTTCATCTAGGTCAGCACTATGAACAGTTTGTGCGTACCGGATATCACTCACAGGTAAACCAGCTAGCAAAAAGGGAAGTCTAATAAATGAATCTGTGTCAGCAGCTGTCTCACTTGCAATTCCCGGTGACTTACGATCAGACTCAGCAAAGTATTGAACACAGGAATTGCCTCAGAAATAATCCAGGCTATCACCCATAACACAAGACTGATCGCAACCCAGGACCCGACCGAGAGGAATGTGCGCTGCTTCATGTGATTTGTGTTTCGGAAAAGACGGACGTAAACGTATTTCGATGCGACATGCCCATTGATGACACCGGCTATGACAATCTACAATATCAAATTAGGATGCTTCATTCAAAGTAGAAACATGTGCTGGGGACTCGCACCGTAGGAATGGCAATTCCATATGCAATCTTTGCTGTTATAGGCTTTGTCGAGCTCAGGGCGGGTGACTGCACATCCCTCCCACCGTAGATATATATAACAACAGCAGCTATCACATACATACTCGTATCGGTTATTTGGAGCATGTAGAGGGTCTTAGGATAGTCCGTTGGAGTCTCCATCTCTGAAATAAAGCCGAAGAAAGCCACGTGCCCAGCTAGATAAAAATTAGTTTCAAGGTCAGGGTAGCTGGTTAGTACTCACCATAAGCAAATACAATATTCGTCACTGCAAGGAACGCCTTTGAAAGACTGACAGTTGTAGTCGCGTCTACTTTGTCATCACCGGGGCGCTGGATAGCAATAGCGATCATAGTAATCAGGAGAGCGGCAATAATGCTTGCGAAGGCTGTGAGAGTTAGATCAGAGCTGGTTCTGGAAAAAGTTTCGATATACATACAAGCAAACGAGAACCACGAAACCTTGCGAAGAGTTCGAGGCAAGGAAAAGACGAAGGAGACAACTAAGCCAACGATCCCAAATACAATCGAGCAAGTCCCATGGTCTGTTACTGTATCCAACATAACACTGAAAGTCAAGATATGACTGCCCATGACAAATATGAGAAAAAGCAGCTGCGCCGTTCCCAAGAACTCCCTACCAAAGCGAGCTAGACCAAGAGGATGGAACATCACCTCCCCAGCATCTCCCATACTATGTACTTGCGGGTATCTGAGTTTGAATTGGCCGATGACATATCCAGTGTACGTTGCGACTACACCGAGTCCGACAATAAGAATGATTGCACTAGAAAGCAGTCAGCGGATTCCTATTCTGTAAATCAGAGGTAGTAGAAACCTACGGCACAAGGCCTAGGACTGCGACAGCCGATGGAAGAGACAGAATACCGAGGGAGACGGTTTCCGCGATCATGATCATGCCACATTGCCACCATTGTAACGTCCGATACTTAATTTCGGCATCATGTTCATCCCCGAATGGGTCTGCGAGGTGAGAGATCACATCTCCCGATCGGTTCTCCTCTTCTTTCTCTGTTGAATAACTCCTGTTGTCGACGTCATTTGCGAGGGGATAATGGCGATAATCTGCCATCGCACCGGCTGGGGTCGCTGTTCAAAGCTTTTAGTGATCGCGATCACTGTCAGCGATCAGGAGAAAAGATAAAAGTCCAGTGCCTGGATGTGATAAAACAGAATGATAAGTTTGGGGACTGTAGATCGATGATGTCATAACCTTGGATGAACTTGTTCGCGGGGTGAGATAAAGATCTATAGATGGACTGAGTGGCCAGAACAATGGCGTGCACCAGAAAACGCCGAATCTACCGCAATTGATCCACGCAAACGCTTGGTTTAGCTTGATTCCGCCACCTAATGTCCCGATATGGAGATTATACCCTTACTGATCGATTTAGTGGTATAATCTCATGTTAATGAGACCATGATTCGCTTCTGCTATCACCAGGATATGTATGTCTGGAACGTTGGCCTTATCAAGTTCCACATGGGGTATTGTCCGATTATATCCGAATTAGACTCGTCAACCTAAAGTGGATATATCTGGTTGTTACCCCATGTTGAAATGAGTGCTGATCTCACTCTACGCGCTAAATTCATGACTGTTACAGCCTGAATCCCATATTTATTTAGACCAACTTAGCCGGCAGACATTGAGCATAATGTGATGTGACTGTGTCCTGTCAGGTGAATCCATTAACTGTATAGTAACCCGGGCCTCCCGTTGAGGGCGTCATCGTCTCTCCAAAAGCTCCACATCTTCGTGATCCACCGATATGTCAATCCTCTTCGTGATGCGATTTTTCGCTGGAGAATTACTCATCCGCGACGAAGGATATGTTGAGTTGGATCGGTCGGAGTTAGGTGTGAGCTTTTGGTTGGTTCGTGACTTAGACGCGTCGTCGGTATAGGCTAGTCCATTCTCGTCGACGTAGGCTGCGATAAATGGTTTCATTAATGGTGCTGTGAGGACAAGAACACTGAGTGCTGCGTGGAGCTCTGCAACAACGGTCGCGAAGGTTCCTTCGAGTGTGGGATCTGATGAATTGACTTGATGACGAATGTAGTGGAGGTGGATGGCGCTGATAGGGATAAGGCTGCAAGTATGCCCATTGTTAGTATGTATAAACTGGTAGAGTGAGAGCTTAAACATACAATACTCGACAACTAAGCACCAGAATTACAACGACTTTGTTGTTGATTGTCGTATGCAGTCGCACGATTGCCCGGATGGGATATAGTAACAGCACAATTTCAAAAATAATATCCAATGCTGTGACGGCTTGCCAGCGAGGGAACTAGACAGCTAGGAGTTAGTAGAGATATAGTTCTAACAGGTAATGTGACCTACCAAAGCGGAACATTGGTTATTGATATCATGCCATGGATGTCGATCACAGCGGACTGCCAGCAAAACTATAGTAACAGGGGCACAGAGTAGAGTAACCGAGAGAAGAGCATAGCTCATCCAGAGCGAGCTACGTAGAGTGATGGTCCGGTAAAACAGCGCTGTTGACGCTTTTGATGAGGATAAGATTGCGATGTAGAGGATATCTGCACTGTATCCAACCTAAAAGGACATTGTGTCAAAAATGATACAGAATCCTGGTCACGGACACCTACCTTCTCGATCAAGTTCCAGTCTTGATCAGCGATGAGCGACTTTGACTTTCCCCAGCCAAAATATATCTCCACAAAGACCACAGATACCTGTGCCAAGGCAAGAATCTAGATTCGGGATCAATCAACGTCGGTCTTCTAAAAGGGTCCGCATTAGTTGAGACGGAAAGACTTACCACAGTCGCTGCGAAAGTCAAATCATCCAACTGACGGACTCTTCTACTGTATGCAGAATACACACGAATGCCTAGAGATCCAAGGACCAGAAATAGCGAAAAGGACGCTATGACTGTAATAACTCCATTATGGTTTATTTCCGTATCCGCTGTCAGCGGAGGTGTCAAGCCAGGTGGCACTGGGGAGGGAGTTGCCATGGCCAAAAGAAAGAAACATGTCCTGATCTGTTCCTAGGGACTCGATGGAGGATATATTCAGCTTGATCCAAGCTGACTGGCTGACTCAGGAGATTTACACTGTGATGCAGGGCATACTAATAACGAATCGCAGATCTCCATCCACTCCAGCCTGTATCAGAACTGAGATTTGACCTTGGTGCATTGGCTGATCCACCGGGACATGCGCTGTGACTGTACTGTTGGTTTCAAGTTGCGTATTATTAGCTTGATTCGAGATTTGGGGAATACGTGGTTTCCTTTCTGGGAGATATCATAATCCCTGGTGGTCAACAGACGCTACCGAGTATTCCAACAGATTCAAACTAATTGTGCCTATTGGTGGAACCATATATCGGGGGTAATTTTTAGATATGGACGCACGCAGTGAATGGGGCCGATGTATTTAACATGCCATTTTGCAGATCATCCGGGCGCTTAATATTCCCACAGGCACATGATTAAGGTTATTCTCAGGCCTAATACTGTTTGAGTATCCAGTCGAATATGTAAATGCAAAAGGTTCTATGAACTTCGAGTTGGTGATCAAGCATGTATCCGGCCACCGGTGGGGTATGGTCACTCGGAGTGTTTAATTTCACTGTTACATTTATATCGTGCCGAATACAACAAATTAAGATAATGGAGTAACTCATACTAGAAATATTTGCAACGCAATACGGAGTACATGTGTAGCTCACTCTCGTTTGCCGTAATTGCAATCGCAACGGACAGGGGTAGACGTAGCCTGCGCGCAGGACGCTAAAAATAAAGACATGCCGCAGTGGGACTCTCGCAGTTCTCGATTTTGGTCTTTGCGACATGTCATTTATTTGAGGCGCCTTTGTTTGGTATTGCCCAGATATATGCCTAGTGGCAGCGTCTGACATGGCCAACCAAGCTCGGAACGACTTCCAAATCCCATTTTTTTGTACAACCTAGCCCGGAATTCAACCCTTCCTGCATCAACGCGGGAAGATACAGATGGAAGCCGGAACGGAGCATTAAATTAAGGCTGGCAGCTGAACAAACCAGCGAGTGGCGTTCTGATAGCTTCGTTACCGAATTCCGTCCAGACAACGATTTATGCCGGTATCCGGGGAATGGGGTTGGAGTCGATTCATCTTATTCTTGGCGAGAGTACGGAGTATGCGGGCAATCAACTGCAGAAAACCCAGTACAGTCATTGACAGGGATGATGAACTAGTCCACTCGAGCGAAAAATGGTCCTACCCGACCAGATATGCGTCGAAACGCGCTGTGGCACTTCAACGCAGTGCCAACGTTCACAAAAGGTTATGCCGATTCCGGTCCGGCTGTTCCTGAAGGCCTTGCCATGTGGCCTGGTGTGCATTATTATCGGTAGATTTCATCGTCCATCGAGGGGTATGTAACAATGGTGGGGATGGAGAACTTCGGCTTCAAAGTCGACTCGTTGTATCACTCCTGGGGATGCCTGCAGCGGAACAGCCGAGATTGCCCTCGGTTGGCAAAGCCAAGTGTCTCGTATTTTCGTACCTCCAACCCTGAACTGTTCGTTTCTGTCGTTGACTAATATCTAACCTTGGAGTTGGCTCTTCTGTAACTCAAAAACATTGATATGTCAACGTGGGTTCGGACTTGTCCAATTTGTCAAAATGCCACCGCAAAGCCCACAATCACACAATCGAGTCTCTTCTTTTGACAGAGTTCACACGATGGAAGAACATCCCACGAAAGATTTACCGGAGATGGAGGGCAGTCCACAGGATCAGGATGATATGACGCGTATGGGGAAGATCCAGGAATTGAAGGTCTTTTTTTTTCTCTGCGACACAATCAGGACACTGTGTACTGACATGTTTGAAGCGCAACTTTCGACCCCTTGCAGCGTTGAGCTTTTCAGCCGTCCTTCAAGCTACCTGGGAGTTTATACTCATGTGAGCGGCAGTCTCTTGGGTCATCTTATCAGCTGCTAATTGCCTCATCTTTAGCTCAAACACGCAAGGTCTCGAAAATGGTGGACTGGCTGGCGTATTCTGGTCTTACATTTGGACATTCGTTGGGTTTGGATTTATCATTATTTCGCTAGCCGAGATGGCTTCGATGTGAGTTATTATGTGCCTCATTTTCAGAGATTTCTCACATATCCTTTCTCAAACAGGGCACCCACATCGGGAGGCCAATATCATTGGGTATCAGAGTTTTCCTCGCCTCGTTACCAGAAGTTTCTGAGTTACACCACTGGTGAGATCGCTCGTCTATTCATCTTTGACGATCGCTAATGCGTGTGATTAAGGATGGATGTCCGTACTAGCCTGGCAGGCAGGAGCAGCATCCGGCTCATTTCTAACCGGTACTATCATCCAAGGTCTCATAACCCTCCGTGATCCGAGCTACGTGCCCCAAAATTGGCATGGAACCTTGTTTGTATTCGCCATGATAGCTGTCATTTACTTTTTCAACGTCTACGCGGCAAGCTGGATGCCACGAATTCAGAACATCCTTCTCGTGCTACATCTGTTATGCTGGGTCATCATTGTGGTTGTGTTGTTCACCATGGCTCCTCAAAACTCGGCCAAAACCGTGTTCACATCGTTCCACAATGGTGGCAACTGGTCTAGTATGGGGATCAGCTTGATGATCGGTCAGATTACAGCCATCTACGGCTCTCTGAGTGTGTACAAACCGTATCATTCTTTCGCGGTACAAGGCTAACATGGACACATTTATAGGCTCCGATGCCACCGCACACATGTCAGAAGAAGTTAAAGACGCGGGTCGATACGTACCAATCGCAATCGTATGGGGATACTTCGGCAACGGAATACTAGCACTGATAGTCATCGTTGGATTTCTTCTTGCTATCCCCTCAGTACCCGATGCGATCAACGACAGCACCGGCTTCCCCTTCCTCTACGTGTTCCACCAATTCCTCTCAATCTCCGGCATCAACGGCCTTACATCAATAATCTTAATACCAGTTATCTTCAGTAACATCCTATTCAATGCATCAACTGCACGTCAGACATATGCATTCGCACGAGATCGCGGTCTCCCCTTCGCAGACTGGCTCTCTCGAGTTGACCCGCATCGGCGAATCCCAGTGCGAGCGATCGCACTCTCATGCATGATCAGCGTCTTATTGTCGGTAATCAACATAGGCTCGGAAGTTGCATTTAACGCGATCATCTCTCTCAACGTTGCTGCACTGATGTACACATATGCGGTATCCATAAGTTGCGTGATTTACCGGAAGATTGCTTGTCCCGAGACCTTACCTCCTCGACGTTGGAGTCTTGGTCGTTTCGGTCTTGCGATAAATATCATTGGGCTGCTCTATGTTATTTTCGCACTCTTTTGGTCGTTCTGGCCTCCGAGCCCTTTGCCATCGGCGCGAGACTTTAATTGGAGTGTGGTTATTTTCGTTAGTGTGTTCATCGGCAGTCTTTTGATGTACCTGTTTCAGGGCAGAAGGCACTATGTTGGACCTGCGGTGACGGTCCAGCGGAGCTATTGACATTGAGATTCGTTTTGTTTTTATGTACCTGGCTAGGCTATTACGAGATGATGATGACCATGAAATGAATATACGGATTTTGACTTGGACGCTGGGAGATGGAATAGACTCTTTCCATATATATATCTCTATGGCATAGACTATGTAGAATATCTCAAGGCATACATGTGTCTCCTATTGGTTTTTAATTATAGATATCAAGGGCGACAACATCCCCTAGATTGGATTACTCTAGATCCATTGATAGGGTTAGATGTTTCAAGACAGTAGACAGGAAATCCAAATTTCATAGTCGTTGAACACGGTTGCAGAAAACTGAGATAGTATATTTCAGTATCCTCTATTTCGAAACAACCAATTTGTATTCTAACTACATCAATATGAGTCCACAATCTATGCAAAACCGCGATCTTCCATCTGCCTTGCAACTCATTCGGTATCCTCCTCGCTCTTTCCCTTCCAGGCCAACCACGCAGCAACAATCAATGACTTCAGGATGGCTGCGGTCCACAAGGCCCCCATCATTCCCACAGAGCTATGAGCCCAGAGACCCCCCAAGACCACCCCCAACAACAAGCACAAGATTGCACCAATCCGGCGGTTCTCCTCAGTATGACCGACCACCTTCCCCGAGAGGAAATCAGGGTGTGAAAACAAATCGCAATAAGTACTAGTGAGGACAACACTAGTCAAGCCCGTAAAGTTCAAAACACGGCTCGTCACCGCCTGTCCACTACTCTGGAATGCGATGAGCGCAATCGGGACGAGGACCAACCACGTCAAGGGCGCATCTCGAGATGCCGGATGAATTGTAACGATCAAAGCGGCAATGCACACACACACGGTTTGAGCGAGGAACGAGGCACAGAGCACCCATCTCCGTCTCGCTGGGAAAACACGGTGGAAGGTGGCGAAGCACAGCGAGCCTAGACAGAACGCCGCAATGGAAACTCCGGACTTGATCCAGCGATCGTCCTTGGCGCCGATAAGGCCTAGGCCGAAATATACGGTGTTGCCGGTTTGCATGCTCACAAAGGAGCCCCATATGAGTACCGCTGAGCTGTCGAGCAGGCCGGTGATAATATAACAGAATAGAAGGACTAGGTCGCCATGCGCAGTATCAAGGTCACTACCTAAGCATTTAGACGCCAGGGATAGCAGAGAGGGTTTGGAGCGTCTGTGGTTGCCCAACAGGGCGTCTGTTTCAGACATTGGTGTGATGGTCGTCGGATTGAAGTGGAGAGAAGTTGTTTTTTCGGTTTCTGTGGAGCCCTTGGCGTAGGAACTCAAAATTGATCACCGTAAAGAATGAGACGTCATCCCTACCTATTTGGAGAATCCAAGTGCACTGAAATGGAATCGGCCAATTTGTTGGGGTAAACAATTGGAGACAGGATATGCGATCGGAATATGCGCAATGTCGTGACGTCGATGCGGAGAACAACATTTCCGGAGTTTACACTTTACCTCCTGGGAATTTCTTCTCTTCTTCTGTTTAACTAGTTCGTTCTAAAGCTCACCATGCAGATTACACGCTTCTTGTTAAACCTGGCATATCTTCAGGCTGTATGGGCTATCCCTGCACCTGATCACAGCCTGCAGAAGCTACTGCAGGTCCCAGCCGGCCATTCCGCAGCATTATTCGGTCAACAGCCTATTGGAAAAAACCCACCTTTCTCCCCAGGACATCGCGACCCATATGATCACAAGGTTGACTCTGTTGGCGATGACCGACATCCACTGCCGTTCCGCAATGGAGATGGTACTACGGTCATGGGACCGCGGAATCGGGATCGCGAGCGCCAGAACCCCGATCTCGTCCGTCCGCCGAGTACCGACCATGGCAATATGCCTAATATGCGATGGAGTTTTGCAGACTCACATATTCGCATCGAGGTATGGTCATTCTAATATGTCACGTACGTCACTAACCTAGACGTGTACGTATAGGAAGGCGGATGGACGCGACAAACAACTATCCACGAGCTACCCACTAGCCGTGAACTCGCCGGTGTGAACATGCGTCTGGATCAAGGGGTAATCCGCGAACTGCATTGGCACACGGAAGCTGAATGGGCGTATGTGCTTGCTGGAAAAGTACGAGTCACAGCCCTAGACTTAGAAGGCGGTACTTTTATGGACGACTTGGAGGAAGGAGATCTGTGGTATTTCCCCGCTGGACATCCGCATTCGCTCCAGGGTCTGGGCGGAAATGGGACAGAATTCCTGTTGATCTTTGACGATGGCAACTTCTCCGAAGAGTCCACCTTCATCTTGACTGATTGGTTGGGTATGAATCTGTCCATGTCTCAAAATATATAGTTTACAAATACTGACCCATTTCCCTAGCTCACACTCCCAAAGCAGTTCTAGGAGAGAACTTCCGGATGTCACCGGAGCAATTTGACAACATCCCGAAATCCGAGAAGTACATATTCCAAGGCTCAAACCCGGGAAGCATTGACGAGGAGAAACCACGCACCTTCAAGAAGTCAAAGATTAACTTCACACATCATATGCTCGCCCAAGAACCCATTAAAACCAGCGGCGGTCGTGTCCGTATTACCGACTCCACGAACTTCCCGGTTTCCAAAACAGTAGCAGCCGCCCATCTAGAGATTGCACCGGGCGCACTACGCGAGATGCACTGGCACCCCAACGCCGACGAATGGACATATTACAAGAAAGGTCGTGCGCGAGTTACGATATTTGCCGCAGAAGGAAACGCCAGAACGTTCAACTACATGGCCGGTGATGTCGGCATCGTGCCTCGGAATATGGGACACTTCGTTGAGAACCTGAGTGACGATGAACCGCTGGAGGTTTTGGAAATTTTCCGGGCAGATCGATTCCAGGATTTCTCACTGTTCCAATGGCTTGGTAGCTCACCTCGCAGAATGATTGCCGAGAATATATTCCCTGGCGATGCTAAGGCGGCAGAGGAATTTTTGAAAAAGATTGAAGATGCTGAAAAGGATCCCATTAAGGATACTATCTGATCGCAATTTACATAGCTTATTAGCGGGATTCAGGATTTACAGATACACAAGGACATCTGGGATATTTGAATACATGGCACGACAGTGTAATGATAATGTTACGGGCGGATGATAAGAAGGTTGCTTCATATTTGCTTTGAAATTCACAATATATGACATTTCGTGCTGGATGCCGACAGGAAGAATCCAAAAGAAATCTCTCTCTCTATCGCACACACTATCACTGCGTTCGAAGCCATGGGCAATATAAGGTAGTGCCACTATGCAGAGTCGCACTAAAGAGGAATAAGGGAGCCTTAGAATATTCGCTGAACACTTATTTGTAGTCATATTCGAATTGAAATCCTAGAATAAGGGCGACTTAAATATCTCATAGATATGGTTTGATATGCTTTATTCGGAATTATACCGTACGCAGGATTGCCACCTGGGCATTAAGTAATAGTTCATGGATAAGCACTCGTGACTGTTAATTAATTCCTGACTTGGATCATACACTATACGATAGCGATGGTACAATTCTTGAATACACAAATTGATATCTTTATGGACAAAGACGCGCATGAATTCCAAAACATAATAGACCATTCTGAACAAAAACAAATCAAGACATATCACGAAAAGATCAAAAACACGAAAGACATGATTGAAATCAACGCAGTCCACAAAACAATACATCATATGAGGCTTGGTTCTCCTCGTCTTCGCTCTCCTAATTTTCGCTCTCCTCTTCCTTGCCCTCCTGTTCAGCTCGCAAGGCAATTGCTAACAAAATCGGCCCCAACACACGCATATGACCCCCCTCTGTAGTATCCCACGGTCCATACTGGTTCATAGTCAAGAAAGACCGATCTGGTGAAAGCTTCCCGTCGACTATGTATTCAAGATACTTCTCATCATACTGAGCAACTGTAATATACACTTGATGTCTGTCTTGCGAAATATGAAAACGCCTATTGATTGTGTTAGCTTTATAATCAGCAATAGAGTAAGACAGGATAGGAGCATACGTGGTGTTGGTTTTCCGGGCTAATTCGGTGTCGCTTTTGATCCAAGCGACCATTTGAGCACTCTCCTGCATTTGAATAGGCAGGAGATTCGAGGATCTTAGGGCAGCTTTGACCTCGATAATGACTTTGGGATTTCCGCCAGGACTGTCAAGATATCCGTCCGTTCTGGCTTCGAATTGCGTGTTTTCAAAAAGCGCGACGAATGCTTTCCGGTGCAATGTCCATTTCAAAGATAATGGGAAGTGGATGGTGAGTGCATTGAGAAATACTATAAGCGCAGTATTAACGATTTGTTCGTCTTTACTTCGCGGATATAGGAGATTTCGTAGTTCCGCTGGGATTGGAGAAATCAAGGTGATGGGGCTTGGGCTTGTGCTTGTGCTTGTGATTAGGTGTTGGATTGAATCATCATCTGAAGCCAGTTCGTCGTCAAGATCTGGTAGTCTAGGCAAAGGTGCACGCCCTGGTCTTGAGGGAGTCTTAGGACTTCCCAAGCTAAGACCATGCAGGCCCTTGTGAAGATCCTTGTCGGCATCCACTGCTGAACGAGTTCGAGCTGAGATAGGGGTGAAGAAGGTTCCAGGGTCGGCTTTGTTTTCCGTCTTTGCAGCCTCACGCTGATAGTATCGAGCAATGGCGAATGTTCCTTCGGGGGAGTCTTCCGGGGTCTGAAAACTGGCACAGTACGTGGACCACGACTTGTACTGTCTAAGCATTTCGGTAGCCCGTTCTATCCAGTCTTTCATTCCCGGCACAAGGACGCTTTTGATGTTCTCGTGTTCCTTCCACAGCACCCGTAGGAGTAGGAATTGCTCAAATTTGAATTTTGAACCAGAGGGAAGACTCATATTGTGTATTGTTTTGTTCTGCAGATCAAGGTTCTTGGCCATGGATTCCCATCGCCTAGAGGTCTCGGGTGCTTCTGCTTTGGCATCTGCCATGGTAGGAGATGGGTCTGAATTGATAGGTGTTTTGGAGGGAGTGGTGTTGCTGTGCTTCTGGGAGGTGTACAGAGTAGGCAACGGTGGCCTTTTTATGCTCCAAGCCAACCTTTTTTTTAGATTGGGCACGTCACATTATTTTGTCAACTCGAAAGATGGGCGGTTCGTGATTGGAGAAGAACGAGTGTTCAGTGACCGCTAGACCAAAGTACATTGGTGAGCGGTTAAGAGCAACCCTGTTTCAGAATGTCTCGTTGCAGCCAAAGGATAGTGATGGGCAGCGAGTTTTTTGGAGGGAAAATGAGGTCTGAGCGTATACTTGGACATGGGTAAGAGCGACCCTCTTTCAGAATTGACTTTCCTGGCTGAATGGTCATCGTGGCAGCTGATTGTTTGCGTGATAATGGGCGGTTAGTTGTTAGTAGAGATGCGATAGTCTCTTGAGGTGCATATTTGTGGCTGAAAGACGGCCATGCGTTGGGATAAATGATAGGGTATCGTGTCTTGTTGTAAGGCTGCATGCATACTCCGTATTCGTATCCTAATGATGCTACCGGTGAGTCACAGATGGGTGAGACTGAAACTGCTTTAGAATTCACATTCCCAACGGGCGGTTAACGGTTGGCGGAGAGCGATAGTTTCTTGAAGTGCACATTTGTACGGAGTACTTAGTAAGCCAATCATGATCCCGAGGTCTTGTTGGAATGGCATCGAGAGTTATTTATGGAATGATTGACATTGGCAATGGGTCTGAGGGCAGTGGCTGTTGGTCTTTTTTGTCCATTCATCCGAATTCTTTTCTCGATAGCGCCTTCAACAGGCAAAAATAGAACGGCGTCTCTTTGTTACAACGAAAATAGCCAAGGCGGAGTAACATCTCTTTAGGGTTAGTCCGATCAGCTTACTCTTAGCGTGTCGCCCGGCAACCCACTCACGTCCCCCGAACATCACTTTTATCAATATCCACACTATACACCATTCGTTCCTCTTCTCTCACTACAAAGCCACCTACTGAGATTCTCAAACATAAAACTCCATCAGACCCCAGTTACACTCTTCCAAATTTCTACCACTCTACAAGCCATCATTACCACAACACTACCAAAGATGTCTTCAAAGCCAACTTCTCGGGAATCAAAAGTCCATCTCGCCCACCGTCTGGCTCTAGTCAAGCTCCATGATGACATCGAAGCTCTTGAGGTTCATGAACTTGACGCGTCGCAACTCGCCAAGTTGAACATCAAGCGCGAGCATATGAGTCTTAGGGAAGACTCGGACCTCAAGCCCCGTTACTTCGCGGCGATATCTAACATCCCACAACCTACCGATGAAGTGATCGATGAAGCGGTCGATGTGGAAGGCCTTTTTGAAGACACAATCTCTAGATCATATCATTTCGAAAGAGTGTGGCGACATTATGGTCTAGAGGTACGATGGGAGTGTAATGACCGCGTATGGCGTTCGAAGCCGTAAGTGTCATCTATTACTATTCTGAGATATATTATCATATCAGCTTATTGTTTCTAACGCTATTCTACTCCCTAGTGTTTGCAAGTACCATGCTTTCAAGTCGTTGTACAAGTGTGACAAGCCCCAGTTTGGCGTTTCGTGGATCATGGACATCCCCGGGGCAGCAGCCCCACATATTAAAGTAATCGCACACAGCGGCTTACTGGTGGATGATAGCAAGCTCTGCCGTGGCGAGCTATTGATTATCCTCCGCCTAATGATCTGCCAGTTCAGGATGGTGCGGTTACTCCACCATAAAGTGGCACCGGTAAGTCTATACCCCCTCCTTTCACTTTCTTACTTTTATAGATTGCTAACTAGGTACTCTACAGGTTTTGGTCGCCTCGTTCATGGGCGAGCATGCACGTATGCTGGAGTCCTATTTTGATGGTGAAAGCCTTATTCTACGCTCTTCTGATCTTTACCACCTGTCTGAGAGGAAAACTACGGCAGAGGTATTTGAAGCATTTGCGATGTGGTTTGCCGGTAATCCAGCGGGAGAAACCGAGTAGGTTACGGACCTTCTTTCTATCGGCAAGGTGGTGTTGGGTTATGAATTGGTTTTTGGTCAAACTAGGTTAGATTTCGGTTTCGGTTTTGTTGGAGTTGGATTGGTGCGTTGTTGATTTATGTGACATTCTTCTATGTTTTCGCGGAGCAAATTGAAATTGTCAAATGGATCGCGTGCGCCCATCTAATGTAATACCTGACAGCCTTTTGCATTCGAAAAACTGCTCTACCATTCATAAATCCCAAAAAGCACAGTGTACCAGCAATGCAAGCACTGGAAGAAAATACTTGATTGAATCTAATCGAAAGTCTGAAGGAGGGTGCGGAGAACGTATGGTCGACATCCATCAGTCCAAGGCAAAATCAAGGTGATGCATCCTTCTGTTGTAGCCAAACACCGGCTAGAACCGTCTCATTCGGAAGCTTCCTCATGCAGAGCAAGAGCCTCCAGAATTTTCTTTCCCTCCTCGGCATCATCATCTTCCCAAGGCTTGAGCCCGTAGCTTTGCATGAAGCGTGTCCAGCCGCCGTAGGATTTGACAATTGCCCGCTCGGCGGGCGTAAGAGGCGGTTCTGTTCCAGTTAAAGTCAGCCACGGATAATAATTTGTGTTGGAATGCAGAAGGGGGGATATATACGAAGTGCGTCACTGGATGGCATCTTGGTGGTAGATGAGGGTAAATAGATGTGAGAGTTGACTTTGCTTGTACGGTCCACGCAGGGAGAGCCTAGTCCAAGTGTAGATGTTAGCTATTAGAAGCGTGTAAAGATAGAAATAAAACTCACGATGAAATTGGCCTCGCGTTGGGATGTATCAGATGGGGAAATGGTGAGGGGAAAGTCTAAATATAGCGCTCAAGGCCGCATGCCTGAATTTGATGCATGAATGCCTTATTTTTGTCTGGCAGAAAATTAAGGATACTTGAATTACAGTTACAAATCGCGGAGTACACGATACAGCCTGAAAGCGGTCTGAAATCAGGCAAAGATAACGCTCGAATAAGGCATTCAGGCATCAAATTCAGACAGGCAACCGTGAGAACGAACCAACTAAGTTTTGGAAGGTGCATTTTGCTACGCCCTTGACAACCTTATAAGCAACAGAGTCTTGATCTTCATCTATTGTAGTGCCATCCGTTTGTCTAATGATGATCAGCCTCAAAAGCTCACGGAGAAATAGGCTCCACAGCCGACAGCCCATCGGTTCATCGCGGCACCACTTCAGCCCATATCGCCGTGGTGAGCTAAATCTGCAGATTATATCAATCTCGGCTCCTTGAGAAGTTAACTCAACCTCTTCCGTCGTGCATCCTGCGATGTGTAGATATGGTTACAGCTGGAAATGGAACGGGTCGGCCCCGGGGAAGGAAGTGGAGTCCCGCACAGGCTTGGCGTCCAATATGAGATCACGTCTTAGACGCTAAAATGGTATCGTAAGGGCGAAAGGGTGATGATATAAATGTACGGAGTAGTTGGGTAATATGCTAAGAGTTGCATCTCTTATTAGGTTACCTAATGACATATCTCAGGTATCCTTCTTGGGCACCCTGACAAGCCGATGCGCCAGGGCACCATTATCCAGTTTGAGAACCGTTTGCTCCCACTTGAATCCCTGGATTCGAGGCAGAAGCTTGATCCAGACATAATAGTAGACTCCACACAGACCGACACTGTATTAATTGTTTGACGTCAGTGATCTATACCGACAGGGACAACCTGGAATAGGAACAACTTACATTCCAAGAGCAACCGCACAATATGTTGCATACCAGAAGCTCACATCGCCTCCATTCGCCCCAGTACTGGGCGGATACCATGGCATTACGACCATGTACAGATTCGAAAGAATTGCAAATGCCACTGAAACGTGCCAGGCGTTGTAGTCAGGTTTTGGGAGGTTGAGGCGTGCACGACGAGCTCGAATGATCACCAGGCCTATTGTGAGTAGCAGACCAAAGATGGTCGTAGCGTAGACTCCGAGATCCACCACTATTCCCCAAAATTAGCAAACTGTCTTTCAATTTCCGGCGTAGTGATCAACTAAAAGGTCAGAAAATAGAAAATGACGTACCGAAATTGAAGGCATCACCAGCAGGCGGTGCTAGGATCATCAACACGGTGAATGCCCATTTCACAAAGTATGGACCGAGCGGTGTTCCAAACGGTCTCGTCGAAGTCCAAAAAGAAGTGAATGGCAAAACACCTTGTCTATATCCAAACAACTGATTAGGTTCACTTCAAAAGTAAATACTGTTTCATCACTGACCTTCCACACTCCCTCAGCATACGAGACTGTCCAAGAAGCACGGCAAGCAGGTTTCCAAAAGCGCTCACACAGATAAGGAAATTCAAAGCGGATGCCGCACCACCAGTTCCAAATACCTTCTCGAAAAAGACACCAGCCGCGACGACCTTCGATTCTAGGATCTCTTCCTTGCTTGCAGCACTAAAGTAGGCAATGTTGGCCAGCACGTACAGAATTGCCGTCACCCCCAGCGAGAGCGGGGCACTCCACTTCAAGGTTTTGGTAGGATTCTAGTGCTTGTTAGCAAACAAGTCGTCATGATCATGTGAAGTACATACCTTGACTTCATTGACGACATTGAACGCATTCTCATAGCCTGCAAAAGAGAACCAGACCTTGGTCAATGCATTGGTTGCTCCGTAGGCTGTCGCGGCATTACTGCCCTCAAAGGCAGACCTAAAATTTGCTTTGGGATCTTTCACGGAGGTATGACCTCCGAGAACCACCAAGCCAGTTATGGCGATGCTAAGTGCCAGTTAGCTTTACCGGTTGAGTTGAGTATATTGTGGATCAACACTTACAATACCAATGTCAGCAGTTTGACTAGCCCGATTGCATTTGCCAGTCGCAAAGACCATCTGGTGTGAAATGCCAGAACTATGGCGACTTCATCAGCACATGTGATACAGATAAAAGGAGTACCACTCACCCAGTACTGCAACAGTATAGCAAGCCACAGCGACTCCCTTCAATTTCCATGGGGTGAAGTCCGAATTCGCAAGTTTGAAGAGATACTGGGCCAGTACTAGACAAAGTCAGTACACGTCACTCCACCATTCACCGGCGATGTAATCATACCAACGGCATTGCTGCTGCTAAACGAGAAAAGCACCGTCTGCATCGCAAACACAGTAGGGAAAAAGTACTTGGGTCGGGGATACGCTTGTTCCAAGTAGACAACCTCCGAACCGGACCGACTGGGGAAAGACGATGCGAATTCCATGTAGACCGACAGCGAGCTAGATGCCATCAAATACCCAATGACCCAATAAATTAAGGTGAGTCCAACTGAGCCAGCGCCTTTGAGGACGGTCGATGCTATTCTATGTGAGTATATCAAATAATCCAGAGAAAGTTGGGTTGTACGCACGCGTTGAGAAGACTCCCGTTCCGATCATCTTACTCAAATTCAGGAAGACCACTGTAACCCAACCGACCGAATACCCCAGCGGGGAATTAACCTCAACGGGCGCTCCCGAGGCCTCCTGGTATGTGGCCTTGGAGGTATTCCCACCGACCTCGGTGGTATATTGTAGGCTATCACTGTCGCTGCTCTCATATTGAGGGACCGACTCGGTATATTCCCGTACGGGAGATGGAAGACCCATTTCGGAAAGCAGAAGAGAAGACTGAAGAGGATTCTTTGATCTTATGTGGACACATGGCGCGACTTTGCATGTACATATACTATTGTACAACTCGGACCCCTACAATAACTGGGGCGCGGTCAGGGGTGCGGCAGGCGTCATCAGAAACTACTATAATGATGTGATAAGACGGAATATGCCACGGGAATTTTAGCTCTTGTGGCGTTCATGATAGATTCTAGCTTCGTCAAGTATTGCCTTGATGCGCGGTCTAATCCTTGTTCAAGTCGTGCATGATAAATCCAGCAGGCATGGGGATATGCTATCACCAGGTCATAAACAAAGCCAAGGATTAATTCGCGACCAGTCAGAGAGTCGAGTTGAACTCTATCAGCGGCCAAGAAATTGTGTGTTCATTGCGGAATGGCATGTACTATGGCGCAATACTTTGCAACAGACCTCGAGAATGAGGTGATGAGAAAATCAATGAGGGGCGGTAGAACTCATTGTCAGCTCCAATGAATAAAACACAAAACGACATGGGTATATCGAGGATGGAGCAGGGGAATTTGTGGCGATGAAGATCAAGTCGATGGATATAGGTAAAAAGTCGACCTTGGAAAAAGTCACCACAACAGAGTCCCGCCCAAGATCTACCAAAATATAATCGACTTTCAGTTGGTGGAAACGTCCAAACACATGATGGACACAGCTAGTGTTGTCCTCATTTCTCGGGGACTTTAGATGTTCTCCTGGTATCAAGTTTCCCATATGGGGCGACTTCCCCATGAAGTGGGTGTAGCACTCATCTCAAAGTCGATTCTTGCCGCGTTCACAATCTGACTGTGCTTCAAGATCGGAGCATTGATACTCCTCCCATCAATTTTCAAACTAACAATATACGGCTTCGTGGACGCCCCCGGGGCACTAATTTCAAGCCTCCTCTCTCTACCATTGGCAACTTCTCCGCCAGTGTTCGCTCCACTAGGAAGGCGAATGGACACTTGCTCAAAGAATGGTGTGCCGACGATATACTCATCACTAGCGGGGTTGACGGGATAAAACCCCAATGCGGAGAAGACATACCAAGCACTCATCTGTCCCAAGTCTTCATTTCCGCCCAAGCCCCCGCTGGTCGCATTGTAGTTCTGCCAAGCAATGCTCCTGACTATCTCAGCTGCTTGGTTGGGATAACCAAGAGCTGAATACAAATATGGTACATGGTGGCTTGGTTCGTTCGTGTGGTCATTGTGACCACCCTGGAAATGCGCATCCAACTTATCGCGGAAGGCTTGACGGCCACCAAAAATCTCAGCCAGCCCTTTCACATCATGCATCACATCAAACGTGTAGACCCAGTCATCGCCTTCGGTCCATCCAAAAGTCCTATTAGCCCAAGTCCCGTTTGCGTTGCGCGCTTGCATAAATTGAGTCTCTTTATTCCAAAGATAGGCATAATTTCCACTTCGTTTCTTGAGGGGTTGCACGGTGGCGTTGTCCTCTCCCGCATAGGAAGCAACAACGGAACAGGCGTAATCATTAAATGCGTAGTCCAATGTGCGGCTACCGGCCTCAGACCAGCCATCATTAGACACCCAGCCCTGTTTCATGTATGATGTGAGTCCAGCGCGGGCCTCATATGATGTGCCGGGCTCGCGGTCATAGTACAGAGTATCAGTATCGTGATCAGGCGGAGTATATGCATCTTTTTTAACCGCTTCCCAAGCCTTGGCGATATTGAAGCCCCTAAACCCTCGCTCCAGAGCGTTGGCAAGCACGACATCTGCATTCGTTGCGATCATGATATTCGTCTCGACCAAGTTGGCCCACATCGGCAGCCAACCGGACCAATCGAAGATGCGTAACAAGGATCGCATCATGCTATTGACACGCTCTGGCGCAAATAGAGTTAAGAGGGAGTGCTCGGCTCTGTAGGTATCCCAGATTGACCAGGACTGGTAGTATGAGTCGTTTTCAATGTGAACACTATCGGTATATCCCGAGTAGAAAACGCGGGGAGCATCTTCTTCGTTCGATATTGGCTCCGAAAAGTCACTTGGATATTGGAGAGCATGGAATAGGCCGGTATACCAGATAGTGCGGGGGTCGTGGTCCGCATTAGTCTTGTTGATGCCCTTGATGGATACCCTACCCAACTTCTCAAGCCAGGCTGATTTGACTTTTTGAACGATATCCTCAAAGGTGTGCTCATCTGGAGTCTGTATCACGAGGTTTCTTCTTGCCTGTGCAACGCTTATATACGAAACTCCGGTACGCACTTCGACACGCGATGTCGAGTTAGCAAATTTCACATATGCACCCGTGAAATTCCCGTGTCGCTGAGCCTCATCCTTTATAAGTAACCCTCCATCTGTCACTCCAAATTCAATAAATGGCTCGGAAAAGCGAGCGACAAAATATCCCTTGAATGACGCTGCTTTGTCTGGTCCAAGGAGGTAATCCTGACGCTCAGTGTTATAGCCGTAGACCTCCCGACTGTTCGCATCAATATGTACTTCGCCTGTCCAGTTCTGACGCGAAGCTTGAAGAAATACCCATGGCTGGTCTTTTTCATCTTCATTGATAGGACTGTGTTGGAAGTCAAATCGAAGATGACCAACATGAGAATCTGCGGACATGGCAACCTGGAATCGTCAGAAAGCATTCATGGCGATCGCAAAAAGAGTGGACATACCTGAATGGACTGCCTATATCTACTGCCATCTCTACTAGGCAGGACATACTCAATCTGTCTTTTTCGCGTCCGCCCATTGGAACCCTCCTTCACCTCATCCGGCACGGAACCCGCACCACCGGGAACAGGCCCATCACCTACAGCCTCAGCCGTCGCATTCCAACCGTGACCCAAGAGCTGGGCAGCATCAACAAGGACCTCATAAACGTACGGCGTACTCCTCTCATCCTTCTTCCGGAACTGCAATCCCCGGTTCTGAAACAACGGCTGCACTTCACCGATCCCCGGTGTCAGCACAACCTGACCCGCCTCGCCCATCCAGATAGCCGGCTGATGTGTGGCTTGGAATCCATGAATGAGACGGTCGCTATCGCCGTAGGGTACTTGCGAGATGAAGTTCTCGCGGGTCTGCGGTGTCCAGCGGGTCATGCCGAAGGGCGGGCTGACGGAGGGGATCATGCCGCCGTTGCCATTTGGTGTTGTTCCGTACGTTCCGATGAGAGGGTTGACGAATTCGAGGACACCAGCATCCTTGTGGTAGGTTGTGTCTGTCTTTGGCTTATTTGGCAGCTGGGAGTTTGCACCTCCTACAAGTCCCGCTAGGAGGACAGGGAGCATGCCGAGCATGGTGATGTAGAACGTTGGTGGCAGGCAAATTCTTCCCACATTGCATGGATCTCACTTTGACGATCTGAGGAGTTGATGATCCCAATCTCCTAAATGCGGGGTTCACTGCAAGCTGGTAGCAACATTCCTTACTTTGTTTGAGGAACTAACCCAACCACTTTGGTGACAGCGATATCCCAGTTATTCATAAAATGGTCCTCTGTAACCCCTTCATATATACCCAGTTCTGTTCACTAATATAACATCGACATCGAATATTCAAAAAGGCATTGTAAATGATTCTTCACGTCCTACGTCATCCGTAACCTGGGGAACCTTGGATATGAGTGGGGCGCGGGCCGAGACCACAAAAGCAGAGCCCCACTCGCTTTTCGCTCTAACAACTCTCTCTGTGCCTTCCACATACACTCTCGGCTGATGACTATTCAACATTCGCGAGCATGGAGCCTGTAAAAAGTGAGCTTGCTCATGCCTTGGCACATTTGAGGCGCAATCTCGGTACTTCAACCTCAGTACACAACGATCGCGTCTAGCCTGTTGCGCAGTGCACAGCTCAGTACCATCCGATAGGTGACATAGGTCCGCCAGGTGCAGGGGAAGGGGACTCTGTGTGAAATGTATACCAGTGAGTTTTAAGTCCCGAAGACATCTTCGACCTTTTCCAACTAATACCCATTACTCACTAGGTGGCTATCCACGATGGGAACGAGTTATATACAGAGTCAGCAATGAGCTACATCTCTGGCAGATTCGTGCGCAGCTTATATGACCCGGTGTCGAACCTCCCTAAACCACTCCCGAACAATTCTTCCATCAGATTGGCAGACACCCACGCTATCACTGATGCAAGTGACATCGTTCCGGACGTTTCTTTGAGGATTTTGCCAAGACCAAAACGCTTGTTTGGTCGGGAAAATGAAGAGAAATGAAGATGTCATGGACGGTTCCTGATGCATCTATAAAACTCAATTGTCCCAATACATCATTGGTATGCTCTTACATATCTCTTACTGTTATTATTGAGAAACTCAGCTTCTCTCGATCAACTTCCAGGCCATACACAACATACTTTACTGCAGAGACGGACGGTGACACTGTTTAATTATGAGATTGCAGTGGAAGTTTAACTTCACACGGCAATTCCCACCTATCACGAATTGCCAAGAATGGAGTGAAGTTCGCTTCGCTTGAGTTGAGTCAATATCAGGTGGGTACTCAATACAGCCTCCCAGACCAACTGCATGTGTCTAAACCGCTCTAGCTCGATATTAAAGTCGTTATTGTCACGGTGCGAGAGCGCCACCCGGTATCCTGGCCGAACGAGGCCTCCAGCACTCCACAATTGTCACCTGACGAAATTCGTGCAGCGTAATTTACCTCTAGAACATAACAAAAACCATGGTTCTTGTTTAGGGCCTAGAGGGGCCATATCCCATTCTTGACATCACCCACTGCATGGCCTATCACTCAGCCACTCATCATTCCCTATCCTACCACCGCTATGCAGCACCAGCACAAACACACTGGAAGCAACTTGTCTATCACCAGCATTCGGTCAACTGCTTTGGCTATTCCTCATACCACCCAGTCGTCTGGTGACTACGAATATCACCCACTACGTGCAGGATGGCGGTGGTAGCCGTCCCTGATGGGTTGACTTCGGTACCAATTCCTCAAGGTCCTTCTTATAACGGATCAATGTCCGTATAACGTGGAACAGGACATTGGATCCATGGGGTCCTACCTCGTCAATGGCAGAGGAGCCATGCGAGGCTGACTACCTTGTTCATTTTATTGGGGTGAATGTTTCGAGTTACCGAATTTATCTATTTATAGTTAAACACACTAGCAAAGAGACCATCAATTGTTGAAAATACAGAAAATTTTAATGCTAGAAAATTGAAAGTAAACACAAAGATGAAAGCATGATTTTCGTCCACTAGAACTCAAAGAGATAACCAACCCTTGCCGTAGAAATTCCAACCTGATCAAGGCATATCCACGGTGTTGAACAACCTATTTCCAGTATCAGTAGTCCCTCTGCCGGTGAATTGATTGTCAGAAAGACGAAGAGCGACAAAGGACAGTCGGTCAAATTGACTGAATGACCCAGCAATCCTACTCTTGGAAACAGTTTGCGAATGAATCACCCCAGCAACCACTACAATTCGAATAGTTGCATTGAGATTCCGGATATGTTGCACGAACTGCAATACCGATTTGCCAGTATTCACCACCGAGTCGACCAGTATGATTGCGACCATATTCTTCAGATGTTCATGTTGAAGGTCATTGGGAACCTTCGCGTGGTGAAACATTGCGAGCGGAAAGGCATCGTTGACTCCGAATGCCATTGGCTCACCTCCACGCATCAGTGGCACAATCAATGTTGCTTTCTCGTTCAGGAGTTGATACCCGTCGGTCTGGTGGCCCTGGACATGTGTAATCGGACGCGATTCGATTCCAATGATTTGGGTACAGAATTCTGTTCCCAAATACCACCCAACACGCCGATGAGCGTCTCGTAACGCCGGTCCAGAAACAGACGCATCGCGCATTGGTGTCATGAGCAATTTGGCGGCGGGCCGGTCAGTGGCGTGAATCACATGAGGATTTTGGCGTCTGGCGAGAACCGAATCGATGAAATTCTGATCTGTCAATCGCACCAGAGGTAGCAGAGTGATGTCAAGACGCGGTGTGACATGATAAGGCAAGAGTGTCTGGCGCGGCTGGAACCCGATCTTTCCAATGGCCTCTGCCAGTTTCTTCTCCATGCTATTGCTTCGTGTCGTCTCTTCGCCGGTGACGACAATAGCCTGGTCTGCGGACTCAAGCATTCCCAAATCCAGAGGACTATCCCCCAATGCAAACACATAAAGGTGTCGAACAGTCGACAAATAAGTCACCAGTCCGGCTTTGACAGAGGGCGTCACAACAAGACCGTCACTCAGACGCCCACCGCCAATCACTTGGACCTGCTTCGAGAGACCCATTCTCTTAAGCACCTTTTCCCAAACAGATCGGATCCCACAGGTAACCACGACCACGCGTACATGACTCGCATCGCGAATCAAGTACAAGAGATCAATAATATCACTGTGCATGTGTACCATTGATGAAACAGTTTGGCAACAAGCCTCAAACTCCACATCGTCAAAAGCCTCTTCATACAGCAGTGTTGCCTGGCGAAAGGCAGTGTAGGAATATCCTAGTGGACTGCTGAACAAAGCTTTCAAGGGGTTGCGCTTAGCTGAAGCACTGCGAACCTGCTCCCAAAAAAGCACTCCGCTATCTTCCGATGCCAACGTCTTGTCTGCATCCATCATGATGACAGTTTCCACGGTGGAGTATGTTTTCCATTCTTTGGTTGGCGAGATACATGTTGTAGCTCTCCGTATGCATCCGAAAATTCTCAACAAGGGAACCGAGCTTGCTGGCGGATACTAGTGGCGACACTAGCGTGAAGAGGATATCGTGGCACCTGCAAAGTTGACGAAGGTGGCTTTGCTCGATTTGCTGCCACCTAGCCAGATGGGAGGTTGACACAGTCGGGCGGCACCGTTTAGCATCATTCAAACGATACTCCGCGATGAGCTCAGCGGGGGAATTCAAGTATAGGATATGGCTATACGTAGCCAGATCACTCGGTGTACAAACTGACTGGCCATGCTCATCTTCCTCAGCCCAGAACATGAAATGCCCGGCCACTATAGCAATTTTCCCCGTGTTGGAACATTCCTGCTTGACTCTGGCTATAGCACGCTCGCGGGCATCATTTTTACCCTCTTTGGTCAAAATCTGGAATGCTTCAAGACCCCCAGGAGTCACCGCTGCGATAACATTGCTGCCATCATAGAACGCAAATTTGTCATTGTCGAGTACCGTTTTGAGTTCTTCCAGTCGGAAAGACTTTCCAGACCCAGGGAGGCCATACAAACCAATAATTACCGGCTTGAAACTGGTAGGCTGAGCTCGAGGAGATGGGTGGGAACGGTCATCATAGTTCACTTCTTCGTGGGGTTCCATCGTGGATACGGAACTTGTGAAGGTGAGCGGTCAAGGAAGATTGAACTTGATCGTAGATGGGAAAATGTGGTGCTTAAAAGGGAAGGTCAGACCTGATCCAGTAAGCTTTAATGATAAAGACCTTTTCTGAGGTGAATTAAAGCTGAGCCTGTTATCGAGGGGCAAAGAGAAACGGAGAAAGTGAATTGACTCGTAAAGTTTGTCACATAATCTAAGCAGCAAACATACAGCTACGCTATGGACTATTCCGGAACCATGACTTGTGATTCATGGAAGCAGTGGCCAAATGCGCCTAAGCTGACGGCTCACTCGCTGGAACTCCGTTTGATCAATATCATGGCGGGTAGCGACTTCTATGAGTTTGTGATCCTTGCTTGGGTTCACCACCTCATGCACAAGATTCCAGTGCCGGGCATGGCAGAAGAAAGCGGCTGCTTTGAAGAAGGACCATCGTGACGTGTACTTTGCAACCATGTACATGTAGATCGGGCTGGGATGGAGGCTGTACAAGCAAGAAGGATTCCTTGTTGGAAACCCGTCGTATTGGGCCCGGGTGATTGAGAAAAGGACATCTGATGTCTCACTAAGCTTTTGCCAACTTGTCTCTGCATGTCGACGCTCGCATAGCTCTTCTCGGAGGCGGTCTCGATGCCACGAGCCGGGGGACTGCCGTCGAAGATTCAACATCGTGAACCACCATCTCAATGTTCTGCGTCCTAAATAATTCATTTTGTCTGTAGAATTAGCGGTTGAGATTGAATGAATGGCGAATGGATAAATAGCAGCGAGAAATGCATTGCCTATTCAGAAATATTTAACTTGTCAAACGCGGCTTCCTCACAACATCACTATATATAACCCAACTCAGATGGCAGGTGCAACCCTCTCGCATTTGTTTTCAGTTAAATCATTTCAAATAGGGATTAAAGGCCATAAAAATCCAATGTATGCTAATTGTAATGAATATCATTTTGATATTTCGATAGACTGAAGATTTAAAGGTGAAACCCTTCAGCCTAAAAGGCCAAGCCACTAAAAATAGCCCAAGGGAGATCAGCCACAAAACAAAACAAGTGGCTGCTGGCATGCGCGGCCCTATGGACGCGCGGATGATCTCTCGAATATTAGCTGACCATTAAATAATCTGCACTTACGCTTCCTCCGTCATTTCAAAATCTGCATCTCCCTCTTTCTCATTTACGGAGCCTGTTTATCGCTCACCATGCCAGCTCTATATGCAGCGCTAGCCCAAAGCGCGGTGGAAACGGCCCCGCACCAACTGGCCCGGCGTGGCTTAAGTGTCAACCATACCCAAGCCGTCACCTTAGGGATAATGGCAGTGTATGTGGTGGTCATCGCACTACTATGGAATCTACCATATGTCCGCTGGGTACTATGGCCGTTCAAGGTAAACACTCCCAGCCCCATATTGACGGACTGCGACTAATCCACTGCACAGATGCTGGTGATTGCGTTCCATGAATTTGGCCATGCGATTACTGCCTGCTGTACTGGCGGAAAAGTCAAGTCTATCTCGCTGGATCCAAATGAAGGCGGCGTTACCCACATGCAAGGTGGTATGAGTGCCATCACCTTGCCTGCTGGGTACCTGGGGTCATCGATTATCGGGGCTCTATTGATCTTCGCTGGATTCGATATCGTCGCCAGTAAGGTTGCCAGCATCGTCCTCGGCGTCTGCTTTCTGCTTACCCTTTGGTGGGCGCGGAGAGACTGGTTGACTATCGTGACTATTCTTCTCGCGGTCGGGTTGTTGGTGGCATGCTGGTTCATTGTCCATGGTGAAGCCTTGCGCTGGGTCGTGGTATGTTGTCCTATGATTCACCCGTCATGAACTTATACTAATCTGCCTTTCTCTATAGTTGTTCATTGGTGTCATGTCTGCTTTGTACAGTGTCTGGGATATTGTAAGTACCAGTTACACTCTATTGATTTATTTGGCTAATAATATGTACTCTAGTGCGACGATCTCATCCTTCGCAAAGTAAACAGCTCCGATGCCAGTGTCTTTGCTAAGAGATACGGTGGATCTTCCCAGTGCTGGGGAGTCATCTGGTCTCTCATCTCTCTTGCTTTCATGGCTATTGGCATCATTGGTGGTATCGCAGCATTCCCTGAATCATTCAGCGAACAAGAGGCCAGTTCCAAGCACTTTATCCCGACTCGCTAGTGACACTCGCAAGGTTCCCTGGGGCAGCACAGACCGAAAATAATGATTTTTATGAGATTATGATATGAAACTGCGTTAGGGGATATCCGCATAGGTTAGCAATCCAAGTTTCGATTTTATTGATATACGGTGGCCCTGAACAAGAAAGTTTATCGCGTTGATCTCTCAATCAGAGTAGGAAGAAGTGAGCTAGATACCTGGTCCAATTTACTAGGACTTTATATGTAAGCCCTTCTAGATGTATACGAGGGCGCGCACACAGGACTTTATGTATAATCTTAGATTAGGGGGATTATTTAGAATCTAATCGCTAGTATCAGCCAGTCTCAGTTAAATCTTTGGTCATGATACGTTATGTGTGGTTTATTGTCTATTGTACAAGTCTGTGAGTGATAACTGCTGGCGATTTATCATGCATTCTCAGCCTCCAAAGCCTCCTCGTGCTGTAAAGCCATCTTGGCCATGACGTCCCGCGCCGCGACCTTAGCTTTCCGCTTCTCATTCATAGCGGCCTCATCTCCGTCCTCATCTGGACCGCCAGTTCGCTTTCCATTGGGAGAGCCAGTATTCCGCTTGGTCTTTTTGTGGGGTGCTGGGTGGGTCTCGGGAGGAGCCTCAATTGACTCTTGTGACTTCTGCTGGTCCTCTTCACTATGTGCGTGGCTGTTATTTGCACCAAGGGATTGCGCACGCAAGCTGCGACGAGACGTGCGACGTCGTACTGTATTTTGTTGGACGTTTGACTCGACATCCCCTTGCGTGGTAGAAGGAGCGATACTGGGTGATTCAGTGAGATCGGGTATAGTGGGCTGGCTGATTGATTTCCTCGGCCTGCCAGGCGGTCTTTTCTGAGGAACAGTTTGCGGCTGCGGAGGTGCCGTTTTGGGGCTTTCCTCGAAAGGCACACCCAGGCGCGGACGTTTGGCTATAGTTTGTTGCAAGCTGGATTGGGGTTGAAGAGAGCTGGAGGTATTTTGAGGTTCTCGAGCAGACATCAGCACATCTAGGGACTTCGGTTGCTCTTCTCCAGGTAGCCCATTGATCATTGCTGGTTGGGGTTGGTCATTGAGAGGAACGCGAGAGCTCTTTATCAGCGGATCTGATAGAGACATTTCATCCACCATATCATCTTCCTCCGGGGAATCCGCGATTGCCAGGCTGCGATCGCCCGAGAATGCGTCAGGCCAGTTGCGTTTCCGACCCGCTTGAAGTAAGCCGGGGCTCCGGACTTCAGGAAGCGCAGCATTCATGTTCATGATCGACAATGACTCTTGCTGGTGTGGCAGGGTCACTCCCATATAGCGATTCTTCAGTTTCAGGGCCTCGATCTCCAACTTGAGTTTCTCGATCTCGTCAGACTTAGACTTGAGCTCCTTCAGCACCATAGCAATCATGTCAAAGTCTTGCCCCTGAAGTATGGAACCTTCCGCCAAATTCCGTCCGGGTCGATTCAACTCAATTCGAAGGGCTGTAAATGAGTTTTTGAGATCAGACATTGTGTCTTGGAGGTGATTCACTGAGTTCGAAATCTGATCGATACTTCTACCCTGGTGAATCATTTGTTTTTGCATCGCTGGATCGACGGTAGTGGGATCGGTGGAGCCAGCTGGGACCGCTGCATTTCTCTGGACAAGATCGGTGTTTCGGCGCGGAGGTTCTTTCGGGGGACAAATCAGTCGTTCGAGGGCCCCCTGTTTGAATACAGGCTGCACCGTTCGCATAGTAACAATCTCCCTAAAGGCAACTTTCGACATTTTCCACAGAATGTTCATCCTAAAAGAAGATTAGCTATGAGAAGCCCCGGTCTTGATCGACAGCCACTTACCCGTTATCAAGTGGACAAAGTACCCCCATCCGTTGCTGGCAGAGTTTACATGACACTTCTTGAATGACACGGCCACGCAGAAGGGTCATATCCGATGTATGAGGGATTTGCTTCCGCTCCGAAGAAACGGCGATGCGATGGAGGTCGACACTCAGCCATGCTGTCGGGATTGAGTAGGCATTAGATAGTTTGGCCCACTCGTTCTCCAGTGCAGCCAGTGAGCTGGAACATCGAGCACACTGACACAAAATGCCAGGCCGTGTGAGATGGGATAGGTCCATCATTGTGCCCAGTGTAAGTAGTACCTAGTGTAAGCAATCAGAGTCTGTAAGATTGTGCGGACTTGAACCAGTGAAGCGCATTGCCCGCAGCCAAGCACATTGCTGAGTCAGCGGTCGAGGCCGACCGTTGGATGCACTAGTCCGAATTGGGGTATCTATAAGGACTGTGTAAGAACGGTGTCGTCATAGCCGCGGAGGCATGGAGCTACAGATTGTACACTTCTGATGGATGGAACGCAAGGTTCAGGTTGAACCAGCACCGGGCTAATGAGTATAATTACCCTCCGACCACCACTGCAACATGCTGTACAGACTATGATGAGATCCATCCCGGTTCCACAATGTAGCGAGCTATCTGTCCCCGGATCACGTGTCGACTCCCCTCTTTCCCCAATTCTCTCAACCTGAAGGTATCTGCGGTTACTGTCATAAAGCTCATCCATGAATCGCCTGTTACATCCGATCCGTCGCTCTTCCTCGGCGTTTCAATTAACAGCCCCGCACGGTCGAAAAATCTCTCCAATCGCTATGGCACAACTCTCAACGGATGCCCTGGCTCGTGCCTCGGCGGTCATTGGCAGCAGTGATAAGAAGACTACAGCCTGGCATGGGGCCGGAGCCGCTGAGTTCGACCTCCGAAGTATGACTCAATCGGAAAAGGATGACAGAATTGAAGCTGATCTTGGTCAGGCGATACAATGACGAAGCCTACGCCGTCGATGCTCGAAGCGATCTGCCAGACAACTCTTCTGGACGATGTCTTCAACGAGGATCCAGTCACTAACGAGCTGCAAAGCTACGTCGCTGATATTACCAAACATGAGGACAGTCTGTTGGTTCTTTCCGGTACCATGGGAAACCAGGTAGCCATTCGCTCGCATCTCGCGCAGCCACCTCATTCAGTATTGTGTGATCATCGATCACATATCATCTGTTATGAGGCTGGTGGTGTGAGCGCTTGGACTGGAGCCACCGTGAGCACTGTCATTCCCAAGAATGGGGTGCATTTGACTTTGGAAGACGTCAAAAAGCACGCAGTTCTCGGTGATAATATTCATTATTGCCCCACCAAGTTGATTAGTCTAGAGAATACTCTCGATGGGATGATCATGCCGCTGGCTGAGGCGAAGCGGATCGTGGAATGGGCTCATGCTAATGACAT